CTATGTTTGACAGATACGCGGCTCTTCGGCTGTCTTCGGAATTTGTTTCCGTCAAGCCGGCGTTGGGGCAAGGCCTGGCGTGGGAAACCAGAAATTCAATCGGCATCGGTCAAATGGCCAAGCGAGCGGCGGATCTTGTCTTAGGAAAGGCTGTTCGCAACAGATGCCATAACCTCGCCACACGTAGACCGCGGCTCCGTGATGCTACGCCACCATTGATGAAATTGTACGTGCGTTTGTCCCAACCGAACGACGGGATGAATGAGCGAGCTGATGGATGCTTAGAAGCTTATTCTCATGTCCAAATTGCTTGTCAAATCCTTGTTCGCGGCCGCCTTGATGTTTTTCGGCCGTCACAAGCCGTCACGCTATCCGTGTCAGAAATGACAGAAATTTGTCTTGTCAATGCTACCTTCGTGAACGAGACAGTTGTAGTTGACTGAGAGAATGGAATCGCTATAGGGACAAGGAACGACAAAATAGTAATCATTCTATTACTCCAATGAGGCCTGAACTAGTTCTTCGCGCCGATGAAGCCCCTTGCCGTCGGGAATTTCATTCGACAGCCGACGTAAGATCGAAGTTTGCGTGTCAGGACTCAGGACCGGACGAGAAGCGATATTTACACTGTCTGTATCGATTTTATGATATCAACATGGTTTTGGTGATGCCAGTCTCTCGTTGACGCGATGGTCCTATGATCCTATATTTTTCGTTCCACCCCCTTCGTGTAGTCGATACTAAGGATTTCTATCTTTCTTTTCCAGGAAAATGCCAGCAACATCGAATGGTGGAGTCGGCGCCCCTAGTAAAAGGTAATCCTCCATCCATAGGATATCATTTGGAAGCTGGGAATTCGTCGAGAGTTCTGAACCGCAAGCCGTCGAGCTCTGCGCGACGATCATGCGGACGCCGCAGGCGGTGATTCAAGAAAGATCGGTAGAATCATCTCTCGAGTTTATAAAGTCGACGGCTGAGCGTTGAGAGAGGTTTCACTCTCTCTGTTCCACCGACTCGCTCTGGTTCGCTTGTCTCGTATCGGAGCTTCCTACGTGCAGCCTACGTTAAGCGTCTGGGAATCCCTCTCCGTCGAGCTGCGATCCGCGCGGTCGCTCGGTTTTCAGTGCGAACTTGACGGTGCAACGCGGTTCGTCGTGCATGCTCGACTCTGAGGCTTTGTCGTCGTGCAGCGGGTGAAAACTCTCAAATACGTGCTTGGTAAGGATACCCTCGTGAATACCGACCTGTCAAGTGTTCACAGCGTGCAGTTCGCAGGACAGTGGTGCCGGCGCGGATTGTTTCCGGATCTGATCTCGGATCTAAGAAGTGGAGACGCTTCGTGGTGCTCGAAAGTTTCCGGATCGTTGGATTAATTTGCGGAAATTGGGAAAGCGAGGCTTCCCGACTTAGGATCGCCCGGAAGATTACGCATCGGGCTGGGATTCGTGTCATAATTAGGAGTGTTTGGCGGTCTCGACTGCGGGAATTTCCCGCGGGATCATCGGATTTTTCTCTCCAGACTCCATTCCGGGCGGTAAGGTTCAGTTCTACCAGGGATGGATTGATGCGGGATGGGACGAGCTTTTGTCCGGCTGCTCAAACGGAGTGACTGAATGAGGGGACCTTCGGAGCCCACGCTGAGTCGGAGGAGCCCACACGGGTGCGGACCAACCCTCTGGACGGTCGCCATGGGCGATAACCGTTGCGTCATTGAATTATTCCAAAGAAGAGCTGGCGAGACACACAGAGCAGCGAGCAGCACAAGATCTATTTCTGGACATCAGAATTTTGCTCCATCCGGGCTTTCGGAATGGAGGAATTATCGATGAAGGGTCCGCGGGATTCTAACCCCTGGCTCTCACTGACTTCATGCATGAGAGCCCATTTAGGGGGTGTCCCGTGAGGGAACATCAGAGATATGTTCTTTTGTTCACGGCCGCACTCATTTTCGACTGAAGCGCGTCAGTACAAGGCCTTGCCGCCTGTGAAATGATTCCTTACCGGGAGACTTCGAGAGCCATCCGTCAAATCCATCGGCCAGCAAAGTGAAAGTCTCGGAATCCTACAAATTGCAAGGCCGTTCGCGCGCACACAGCAGGAATGAAGTGCTCTCCCCTCCCTGATCAAACACTCAGGCTTCAACCATTCAATGTCGAAGTCTGTGTTCCCGTTCCAGAACAACCCGAATCGAAACCGAACTCGGCTTGGTGATAAAGTTCTCACGACGGCACTTAGACACTCACCGGAATGAGCCATTCGGCAATTCAAACAGAAACTTAGGTACACTCCTGTCGGAGCCGGCTCGTTCGCTCGTCGAATTCTCTTTGAGAACGGATTCTGCCAAACCATTCTTCCGGCGAAGTTTCGGACGGTGCGGCGCCTGATTCCGCTCGTGAATGGCGTAGGCAAGACATTACCCATAGTTTCCGCGACGATAAGGAACCTAGCCCTCTGATGCTCGAATGAGAATTCTCCACGGGAAGTGAAGAATATCGGGGGATACCGGTCTCAATCAATCCATCGATGATCTCGCTTTTGAGGGAGAAATACCATTTGAAATCGAGAACAAAATGTCCGCCGCGAATGCTGTTGCGTCCTCCCCTTTCGAACAGAATGTTCTGAAGGCGGTTCCTCGACGAACGGGAAGAACATTCCATACAACCCACTTGCATAGCCACATCTCAATGCCAACGTGTAGGCTAGCTGAGGCCATCGCATTTTCTTAGCGACGGCAAGCGACGAATTCGTCACTGCTTGGAATTGGGGAGGAGATTCTCAACGGAAACGACGTCGGAAACTCCGTCATCAACCGGTCGCGCATAGTTTGTTCGATGATCCTTCGGATACGGCCATGTTGATTATGATTTGTGTATCGAGCCCACTGTGGCAGCTGTGAGCATCAATCACGACTTCACGGAGAGCCCCTGTGGGTGTACTCGGATCGGTCGATTCTTCGAGGTGATTTGTTCCAGTAAGGAGAAGACTCGTAGTGGGGAGATATTTCCTGCGTTACTCGTCTAGGGATGATTCAGAAGAGAATGGACGTGGAATTGTGACTCATTTTGTGCTTGTTCCAGATGATCTGACCGTAAAAGGTGTCGCCAAGGCTTTCCCAGAACGTGAGTGAAGACCGTCGATTATTATTGCTATGAATCAATCTCGCCTTACGCTATACTTATTATATTTTTTCCGCCTCGTCTGTGTGAATGGGGTGAAGTTTCCTTCTTTTTTTTGTTGCGCTAGTATTCTATTGTCAGAGAATTCTGGTGATCGTTGCCTTCGGCAGTGCTAGCCTCTCTGATAATACAGGTTTTGACTAGAAATTCCATCCATTATATCGGAATTCCTCATTCGAGCACCGTAATGCCTCGCAATAGTTCCTCCGCGAAGGCAGAAAAAGGAGTCTTTGTTAGAGAGAATATTATAAGAGCGATACTCGTCTTGTTTTCAGGAGACGCGATTAAGAAGCACAAGACACAATGTTCGCCATCGCGGTATGCGTAAGTATCGACTTCAGTGTCAATTTCTCGGACTCATTTCCCGGCCTTGCCGTCGACATGCACAACCTGTAGGACCGTTGCGGGAGGTTTTCGTCCGGGTCGCGCGAGCTTAAACACATGTCAATGGGGGACAAGTTTTACGATGGAATAGGCTGGTTTGGGCTTCGGGCTCGATATGGGAACATGAAGTCCTCACATCGCGTTGAGTCAGAGTAGGGACGGTAATTGATTTGGGTTTCTGCAAAGCGTTTTTTCTGCGCACAATGTCTATATTTATCAAATCGGAGGCAGGAACGAAATTTCAGCCGCTTGCCGAGCCATTCATTAACGAAGCATGCCGTTCCTTCCATGCTGGGTAGCCTTGAAGACCGCCGACAGTCCTAACGGCAACTTCAGCTCCACTGCTTAGATACCATAACAAAACCAACGGAACCGCGACCAAGAGCTTGGCAAGCACTACGGTGGTAATTACCATGAAGTATCATCGAGCTTTTCCAAAGCACCTTCTGGCGCGCTTGACGACAGTGTACTGCCACGAGTGTTCGATGAGAGAAAATCCTCGAGTGGCGTTCGGATTCGATCGAGGACGCCCAAGCGATATGAATGTCCCGGGACGCCGAAATACGTTCGGGGAAAACTTCTGAGCTGCTGAATCTACGCCGCGCCGTCCTGCTCGTGCTCCGTGAACTGCCTGCGGCTCTTGAACCAAAATATTGAATTACATTGTTTCGAAACTAATTTTCCTTTCGGAGAGAGTCGTCATCTTCGCAGAAAAGACTGCGTCACGAATACTCATTATCATGGTTCCGCTTTTCATACGCTATCCGTTACCGATCAAGTCAAGAGCCCGTGAATTTTCCGCTTGCTGTTCGCCTCCACGCGCTTGACAGAGTTGTCAACACGGTGTTTTCCCCCTTGAGAAGACGGAAAATCCTGTCAAAACTGAAGTCAGGCCACGTCACCGCTCCCCAAGGTTATGCGATGCGGCGAGGCGTGAGATGAGATGAATTCTCTTAACGCTTCCAGGGTGTTTAGCAAGAGTGCTCTGAAAGCAGAATGTCAAGAATTTCCATCTAAACCGGACAATAAGTGTCGTCATGCTGGGATACCGAGAACGGTACGACATCTTCCTCGGTACGGAATCTGGAACACGTTGCGGTGGCACCGCCTAGAGACTGGACAGGCTCTAGCTCTGGCTTTCGGGCTTCTAGTTCCCGGTTCGTTCGATCCAAGCGGGCCCGATCAGCCGTGCGACTCCGGCGAGCAGCAGAGCTCGGCCGTCTCAATCCCCTCGGCTTCGCCCCAGAACCGGGGACGGAGCATCGCGCATTCACTCATGATTCATGATAAGACTTCGGCATCCAACCGGGGCTCTCGGTGGATGGAAATTCCAAGGATGGGGAGATTCTGACTGCACCGGACCCGGGCCGGAATGACTTGATGCATAGTATGCTGGCTGTCCATGATAACATTCCGGACCTTGCGCGACTCTGCGTGACCATGTTGGGTCCCGCAGCCGGGGTCTGTTGTGCGAACCTCCAGCTGCGAGCTCGGGAGGTCCGATCGAATTTCGGACTTCGTCGAGAGGACTTCCTCGAGCCTTGAAGGATGGGGGAAAAATTCACGTTGGAGAGGCGAGTTCGCTTTGCCTGGAAATACCATCTGTCGTTCTTCTGCGCTTGGAATCGGACGCCTTTCCTGTTGAAAAGAAATGTCTCATGACCTCGATGATAGGTGATCTCCTCCCTGGGGGAGTTGGCATCACAAGCCTCGATTGGACGAAAAGTTTCTCTCCTCGTCCTCAATTGGCATCACTCTTTCGCTGCTGCTCGTCGACCCGCGGTCCGCTCGACGGAACCGAGTTCATTCGTGCGGAGGTTCCCTGGCTCGTCTCGTGCAGAAACTCATCGAGGAGCATTATTCTAATCCACAGGTGGCTGCTCTCGTCGGGGTGATCGCCGCTCAAGAGGGAGTGAGAGACGATTCTCACGTCGAGAATGTCGTGCACAAGGCGGTCGCCGATGAGTTCGACTCCAAAATCCTCACCAACAAGACTACGGCCTTCCTGTCGTGCGCTTCCGGCGAGATGCACGTAAAGTTGAATTTCAGTGAACCGTTCCGAGGCATAACCTACGTCGATTATGACAAAACGAGCCCTTGTAAATTCTACGGAGACGGACAGAAATACTACGAGCTGCGCATTCCGCTCAAAGGATGCGGAACGAAACAGGTCGGTTGCAATCGAATAAGTTAAAAGTGCATTTACTGTTAATATTCGATAATTACTCGAGTCAAGCATCCCCATTGCTTTTCTGTACAGAGCGCCCTGACGTTCCCTGCCGCCGTACTGAAAAGAGCTCCTTTATTTCAGGAAGCGCCCAGGGTGTTCATCAACAACATTATCGTCCGCTTCCATCGTTCGCTGGAGCTCGAAGAGGACGAAATAAAAACTATCATCTGCCGTTACCCGCCACCGCTCGCACCGCCACCCGCCAATGTCATCGCGCCGATGTGAGTATCAATAAAACGGTGACAGCATAATTAATTAGGGGATCAATCTCCTGGCAATGACCCTGAAATCGGGAGAAAACGGAATCCCACGTATTCGAGGAAGATATATTTAAATGCCCATACTCGACATTCCAGAGTCGAAGCTCCACTTCTGGTGCCACCCTTGCGACCTCCGAAGCTCTCCGAAATCGAGCTGCTCCTCATCATCTGCGCCCTCCTGTTCCTGACGCTTCTGCTGCTCGGCATCGGTATCGCATACTATTGTCTCAAGAGACGCAATGTCAAGGTCATCAAGAAACGTCCCATATCCGCACCCGCATCTGAAATCACGAAGATATCCGATTTCGCTCCGATCACGATCCCGCGAGCTGTTGCTCAATCATCTTCGAGCGAGTCCACTCTGATTTCGGATTATCCATCGGAGAGTCCATCGAGCGCGAGCGATCTTGAAGAAGCCGTCGACAGGCGTCTCGTCGACGCCAAGATCCCGATACCGCCGGCCCCTTACCCCACGGATGGAGAACGCGCCGAGTCTCTCGCGTCGGTGGAGCTTCCTCTCCGAGCTGCTCCGATTCCTCGACCCAAGTCCCGACCGTATCCCGCAGACGCCGAACGTGCCGAGAGCATTTCATCCGAGCAGAGAGTCGCGACAATTCCCCGCCGACCGAAGCGAGAGCTCCAGACCGCGGACGACTTCTTCATTGACACGATCAAAGAAACAACGGAGGACCTAGACGTCGACCATCTTCAACGGAATACCGTCATCGATGCTGTTGAAGCTCAGCCCTTATACGGATCTATTCCTGACAACGATAACTACTCGCAGAGTGAGATTGAGTCAGTCATCTTGCCGCAGAAGGAGCGCGTGCCGCAACGGAGCTCGCAGTTCATCGACGATCTCCACGTCACGAATGAACACATCATCGACACCGACGAGAATATCACAAACAACAAGAGGAATACGATCGTCCAGGCCAGAAAACCGAAAATCGAGGTCAAGAACATCGAAGACGTCATCATCACCACCGAGCACGACATCATCACGAACGAAGAAGTGACCAAACGTCGTCGGGACACAATCGAGCAATTCAAGAAAGCCGAACCGGAACAGTTGAAAATTCCCACCGAATACATCGCCCCCACCTGGGACGTGAACTTCAAGAGCACCCCGGTTGCCTCAACGGACCAGGGACCCTCTGCCACCTGGGAGACGGAGGACCTCACGACGCGCAACGTGACCGATCGGTTCGATAGTGACGTGCGTCAGACCAACATAGACATGTCGTCGACTGACGTCAGAGACACGACTAACGTAAGCCGAAGCTTCACCGATATCCGAAACGTAGACATCACGAATACGGACGTCCGGAACGTGGATATCCGAAACGTAGATTACCGTACAACCGACGTGCGGAATATCGACGTGCGGAACATCGACGTGACCAACGTAGACATACGCAGTACGACCGATATACGTCGGAATGTCGACTACAGCGTCGATACAGTCCTCTTACAACCGCCAAAAAGTGTCACCCCGCCAAAACCAAGTCTAGTTTCGATTTCTTCGACCCCTCCTAAATATGAACTTTTGGAAAGAATCGTTTCCCCGCCCCCCGTCGAGGGAATTGAGCTCATCACACCACCCATCAAGGAGCGTTGGACTGTCCTGATCTCGACGGACGACACCTTCCGGACGCTGATCCATGAAGCTCACACCGTCGAGGAATACACTCGTATCTCGTATCATGCGAACTATGTCCAGGTGTTCGAGAGACCAGTGTGGGACGTGATAATCCGCGTTTTGACTTTCCCGGATTATCACTTCGAACCCACGATCACTATCAGGAGGCTTCCACCGCTTCGAGACGTTCCTGACGTGGATTTCCGGTCTCTGACCGAAACCGAAATTGGACCATCAAGGAGGAAGGCCGATTCCGTTTTCTCTGATGAATCGCGTCCGGAAGGAGACAGAGCGACTTCTGAGTACACGGAGCCTCCACAACGGAGGAGAGCGGCTTCGATTGCGAGTTACCAGAAACCCGTGCTGAGACCCATCGAGATCGATGCAGATCTGTCCGACGATGCTCGATCGGACGAAACTTTCGACATCCCTGCCGAAGCTCTTGCGTCGAGGACGACGACAACGGACGTTGAAAACGTCTCGGGAGGACGAATGGTCACCCAGAGGACGACGATTCAAAGCAGCCGAACCATGAGATACTAGTCAAGGTCCGCAGATATTTATGCAAAAACTGATGGGATCGGGCTGTGATCCGCGGTGTCGAAGCGAGACCGTCGCCGAAATGATTCTCGATCATGAGCTTCATAATTTTTCGAGTGCGATTTTAGGACCATTGAGATACGGACAACAAGCAAACGAACAAGGGAGGCTTTTTGAGATAATTTCAGAGAAAACTTTCAGAATCATGAATTCCCCTCTTCAACTAATCAAGAATCGCTGGACGAGCCAGAAAATTGAGCTGTAAATATTATGTGATATGTATAGCCATACAATAACTCGAAGCGCCGGAAAGGCTGGAAGAATGCGTAGTCGTTCGCGAGCAGCATGCATGTTCAACCGAATAAACTTTCTCTGTGTTCGAGAGGAATATTTGAGCCCGCAAGTATTTTCTTATCATTCGAGAAGTGAACGAAACCGAAGAGAACTCCGTTTATGAGAGAATGTTTCAAGCCTTGTTCATCGAATCAATCCAGTCATGTCTGTCAGACCGTCACGTCTGCCCTGGCGTTGGTCTTCATATATTATCGACTAATATGATCGGTCGAAATTCGCCAGCATGAATTATTCTATAGAATGTATCTTATCAAAATTTCCTCAGTTTGAAAATCCGTTTCTCGTGAACACTCGGAGAGTTTCCGACGGTACGAAGAATTTGGACCAATGGCCGAAATGATTCAATAAACATAAAAGTATTCGTTCTCGATAATGAAACGGCCCAGACCGATCCGGATCGAAATATTCGTGATATCCTTACTTTCTCTCCGAGATACCAGACCAGTCTCGTCTTGGGGAAGTTAAGATGCATCAGGTGAGGGCAAACCTCGGTCGCTTGAGCGGACACAATTACTGGAGGTTACGGCGGAGCCGACGGAGTTCCCGTTTTGGCCTCCGTCGCTGTCTCGGTTTCTCGATTCAATCTCGAATTAATCATCCGTTGTTACGATTGCGATGCAAGCGGGAACCAGATTTTCGATTTCTGAGCAGGATCTGCATGAGATCAATACACCGGGAAGTCGGGCGTGAAGTTGTTGAGAACCGCTCCCAGGGTACTTCTCTCGCCGATGGACGCGTAGAACGAGCCGTGGTTATAAGAATGCTCCCATGAGAAGCTTCGAGTTATCTCAGGAGACGGAGGCTCCACGACGATACGCACGCCCGGCGTATCCGGATCATCCATGGGTACAGTCAAGCAATCTACAATGTCGTTCCATAGCCTGGAAGGGAGGCATTATTGGATTCAAAATCCATTCTGAGAATAATCTTCACTCCCCTCGCTCTCCATCCTCTGTTTTGTTTCTCATCTCCGAGCTGATACACGTCTCTATGGAGCTTGATCTGATTCCTCTGACCTTTTCGTGTCGTCCTGCTCCGCTTCGTCCGCCAAATACCGTGAGAGGAGGATCAAGACACTGATGGCAATGAAAAACGTGATCGCCACGGCGCCCACAAGCACAAAGGGTGGGAATTGCAACATATCTTGGCGGTGATTATTATTATCTTTCTATTATCACAGAGACATCACCACCCTGAGGTGTCCGCGGATCACGTATCACAATAGCGATAAGGGGGAAGCCACAACGATTAGGTCATTCGAGAAGAGCTTGTAAACAAACTTCCTCCAGAACATCAATAACTTTCAAACAGATGACGTGCAGGGTGGCTCACCGACGGTACACAGACGGTCTCTCTCTCTCGACATTCTGTAGCGAAGAACCATCGATTTTTGAGATACGATTCTCTGGGTAAAACTCAATTATGGAACTCTACAACGAAGGAGTAGAATTTGGGCCAAGTCCTGCAATCAAGTACGCTTAGCATCCGTGAATCGGTCTCTATGAAATCGATTCAAGGTTTAACGCGAGGCCCTGGAGAGAGTCCTCCCCTTGAGAGGCTTTCCATTGGATCCGAGCCGGCTGAGTCGACTCCCGCCCGCTCCCGTTCCGCGAGTGCCCTCCAATGGAATGCCGGGAAATTTCTACAGAAGGGAATTTCTCCCAATACTTGTGACATCCGGGATTCGGCAAGCGCCCTATTTATAAACCAAGCGTTGACTCTGTCGGGGAGGGTCAAGGAAGCTCTTCGATTTTAGAAACAGCAGCAGCAGCAACAGTCCCAGTAGCACCGTGCCATCTCCGAGCTAGCTTAGCACTCAGATCACCTGGTAACCAAGCGACGCCAGCTCATAGTCCCTAGAGCCAGCGAAGCGTAGTTTTTCCTTGCTTCGAGAGTTGTCCGTTTCAACTAGATGCTTCTCGACATACTTAGCGAAATTCACAAACGCATGCATCCATGTCTTCCATCTATCATCGAAGTGAGCCGTGGAAAACGCTCTTTTCCTGGCCGCGCGCCTCCCGATCTTCCGTCCTGTGTCGAGTGCCTCGATCGCTGACCTCTCCGCGGGGTATTGTCGCGATATCCTTCGAAGCGACATCGAGGAAGGAAACACATCGCGAGACCCACGAAAACATCCCTTGAGTCGACCACGGACTACTTATTGGTGTCTTCTATCCATCATGTCCCTCGAGTAGATGTCGAGGGGAGAACGAAGCTTTCGTCTACGATTTCAGAAACTTTCCTCCGAATTTTTGTCCCTCTGAATGCGGGAAGAAGTTTTTTTCCAGCAGGAGCGCATCGATCGTGCGTCCCACAGAGCTCATGAATCCTGCGACAATGTTTGGGAGTCGCAGCTCCAGGACGATCGCCGTGTTCCACAAGGCTTTCGAGGTCCAAGAATTCGCAGGAGGGTCCATTGTAACTTTATACGGGAATGTACATCATGCATCATATTTATCTGGATGTTCATAAGTATGTCTAGACATAGCGATGGCCCCCTGATTATTCCATGTACGCCTGAGACGTCATGTTACGTCTGTGGCCGACAGTCGAGCGGAAAGCAAATCCAGCCGCGGTGTCTCAGAGAGATATATGTATCAGCCGAGAAGGCATCGATGTCACCAGCCACACTGTGAAAATTGAGCCGAGGGGAGAGAACCGAAGACCACTGATTAGGAATTATCGGAAAAACGATTTAGGTACTCCCCCGGGGAGTACCTAAATCGATTTCGGGGAGTCTCCCCGAAATCACCGAATTAATTTTAATGAGGCTGAGGAAGATCGCCGCGACCCGATTGATCGAGAGGTAACGAACGAGGGATAAGTTGCTTCATCAGGCGTTCTATAGTTACCGATGCTGCTTACGAAGAGTGTGGGAGAAAGACCGTCGGTGGTTGTTTCGGTCCTCCTCTTCTTGCTTGCCGGGTCGGTCCGTATCTCTGTCTGGCTGTCTGTCGCGATGAACCGAGGGCGGGCGGGTCCGCGAGCCTGCCGACCTACCGGGCAGCCAACTGGCCCGCCGCCGGCAGGCGAGCTCGACGGCGGGTGGACGGCTGTTTCTCTCCTCTAGAGATTTCTCCTGCTCGTTCCGAAGCAAGCAAGCGGGCTAGCTGCTAGTTGAAGCATCCAGATAGCTAGCCATAAGGGTGTGTTCTTTCGGTCGTCGGACCTCTTCTAGGATGGCTCTGGCTTGCTGCCATCTTTAGAGGGTCCACCAAGTATCCGACGCGGTCCTGTCTCACTACTCCCAAACAACAATTTCCGACTTCGGTGCTTTCGGCGAGACGAGACAATTCCCAGCTCATTTTGGCACAATTCGCGGCGGCTAAGGTTCCGGAATTTCCGGTGACCCCGGAATTCGGTCATATAGGAAGGTTGTACGTGTATACGCAACGTCGGAAGCTGCATCCCTCGGACGTAGATGACAACGAAAGGGGTGGCTCATCCGCGGGCCTACTCCGTGAGGGTATCGCCGACGTGGCAACTTTGGTCAACCACACCAGAAAGACAGAGGCACTCACCATGCATGGGATTGATAAGCGAAAAGGATTTCGTGACCTTACGGTGGGTAGGTAGAGCTTTACGAAAGAGTTAGATACTTTCTGCGCGTACGTATTCTCAGGGATGCGAACATGCACTCCGAGATTGAAGAACCCTGCTGTTCGGCTCGAAACTCTTAAGGAAGTTCGAGAATGAAAGCCTCAGAGCGATGGCTGTCAGAGGGCAAGAGCTCGCTGCCGGTTTATCTCAAATCAGGCAACGAATTGTGACCGCGGGTCCATTCTGGGCGTATGACGTCGAAATAGTATGGCCGAGCTGCTTGCCGACGACGCCTTGCCGACCTCGTTCTTGCATAAGACCACGAAAACGACGATGGAGAAAAAAGCTCGTGGGTGTTTGGAAACTAAGGCAATACGAATTCCTCTGCCACAAACACACGAGACCCTCAATTCTATGGATGATGACTCACTGTTCGACACATATACGATCGGTCTCGAACATTTGATAGATCTCCCGAACTTGCTCGAGTCCGCTCGGTCAGACGCTCAGACGAGCCCCCATGCATGACCAGTCGGCTGGAACTCTGCGCTCCGAGCACAGAGAAACCGATCGGCTCCGAGCTCAGAGGAACCGATCGGCTCCGAGGCGGCCTCGGCTCCGAGCGACACCCCAGCATGTGTTCACTCCATTCGATCCGAGTCGTTTCAGCTGTTTCTACCTAGAGGGGAAGATGATCGAAATTCGAGCAGACATGGCTGAATTCCCCCACAGACGATCGAGGGATTAAGGAATAATGAGATTAGACATGAACCGCTTTGACAGCAAAATAAAAGGGACCCTCCGAAACCACCGAGACGACGGGAGAGTGGTTGAGCCTTCCACTTCCTAAACAATCAGCTTTATGCCCGCTTTAGAACCACACCCAAGAGCGGTAGCAGTTGGCGTCCTCTAGACTGAAGCTGCTGCCCTCGAGAAATAGAGATGTCGAGCATTGTCTCAGAGTTTTCCAAGCTTATGATATATGCGAGCGTGCGTGGTCATTCCGGAAATTCAGGCCTCGAGACTCATATCTGGGCCGCCTACTCCGCCCTGATATCTTCACTGCTCTCTGATGACTTCCGAACCGCTCACCGCTGAGGTCTCCATTCCGGAAATTCATGATAGTATCTCCTCAGATCTTTTTTTTTCGCCGGAAAAAATATCGGTGTATTCTACATGGTCGTGCTCTCCCATTGAGAATTTCTCCGCGATCGAAGTCGTTGCTCTGGCTGGCGACCGTGAGTGCCGAACAACGATGGCTGGCGCAATCGGTCCGTGGATAAAATTAGGCGTGCATCACAGACGGAGCTCATTCACTCTCGCTGCTTCAATCTATTTCTTCTCGCTCACGTTCGCGAGAAGCCTGTTGTTAGAGTCGCCTCGCGCTCTCCGAAGAGGGCCCACGCATTATTACGAGCAGACTTGACGTCGGAAGTCACCCTTTCGTGAGACAGACGATCGTTCCTCCGAGTCTCCGCCTGATGACTCGAGACCACTCATGGTTCGGACCGTCGACGGCACTTACTGTTTCCTCATACCAGGACCGTCAATCCTAGATTTTCCGTCAGCCGTAACTTTCGAACTCCACTGCAGGCTTGCAAGCGAGGGGGCTCAGGGGATCGGAACGATTCTCCTCCCATTTCCCTGTGAGGAGTCAGCGAAGGCGATGTGGAAAAGAAGTAGCGCTGTGGAGATGGAGCTCTATTTGATCTCTATGCGAGTCGGAATTGTTTATGATCACGACAGCATTGATGCCGACTGATTGTGACTTCTCTCTCGCGAGGTTAACAAAGCGGGCCAACCTTGAACCACCTCGCTGAGTTCGGAGTGAGATGTAACCAGGCATAAGCCGAGTATTCTCGGAGACGTCTCACGAATTCGCTTGCATGGGTAGATCGAACGCAAGCGGCTCCCACTCGAAACTCTGAACCCTATTGATTGAGGGTAACAATATGCGTAGCATGTCCAAAGTTCTCCAATTGCTCATTGACCCGTCAATTATTGTTGAGGTCACGAGACTCGTTCTCCCTGAAGATAGATTGGACGGAGTCCGATTCCTCCCGAACAGTAAAGATACACATTCACTCCAGGGTAAGAAGGACAAGCACATGAATTCGTCCATCACGGAACAGCTACCGGTGTCGAAAATCGCGCGAGGGGCAGAGCTCGGCCGGCTACCGAGCATGGTGGCGGGTGAACCACACTCTTAAGCAACTCTCGGTGGACTACCGCCACTTGTTTCAAGCCAAATATTACATAACGAATGCTCGTTGTTGGACCGCAACGCGTGCTGCGCTAATTGAATCAGGCCATTACGGCAGAAAGAGATTAGATTGTCTTTTTATCGTCAACTTCTCACCGAACCCTCGAAACTAGCTGGACGGGGCAGATGTGCACTCTTCGAGAAGCTCTTCGCAACCGCCTCGGTGAACCGAAGGAGATCTCCTGACCGGGAGATAAATCTCGTTCTGAGAAATGTCATAATCGTCGCGAGGATCGAGTCTCGGTCTGATTGGGAAATTGCCGGCGGGACCAGGAACCTTCGAGGTCCAGGCTCGGCTTCAAATCCTCCTAGATGACGATCCTTCTGATCGTGGTGTTCGTTCTTCGCGTATATTGACGAGCCCGGGAACATCGCTGAATGACTCACTCGGATGTGAAAAATCCAAGTACTTGTACTCTTTCGTTATTTGGTGATCACTGATTCGACTGCGGTGAGTCAGAGCGAGGCTAAACATCGCGGATGTCGGTAACACGGTGTCACCGGATGGTGAGTCGTGCAAGATCATCTGACTCAGGCTAGAGAAACGCGGCGACAGCACGTTCTTCGAACCCCAATTCACAGTGTGGGACACCCTTTGACCGTCACGTGGGACTACTCCTCGCCTAGGACGGGAGCGTTTCGCGACGGTGCCGCGGATCCTCCAGTCCCGCCCTGGAGTCCGCAGAAACGACAGGAGGGGCCTCGTCAGAAAGTGGAGCAAGCGTCCTCTCCGTAAGACTGCATTCTCGTTCCCCCGACTCGGACAATCATCATCGAATAATCAGCCGATATGCCGGATAAGGGACGGAGGGAAAAGAAACTGAAAAGCTATAGAAATTCATTCGGAATATCGTGTGCTTCGCAAGAGCTTCCCAGCTCTGCTCTCATTGCGCCACGGAATCACGACGAGCGCTCGAGCTCGCAAAGAGCTCAAAAAAAAACTGGACCAGGACAAAGCCGATGGCCTTCACTCTTCGACAGCCACTCCCTTTCTAAAGAGCTGATTCCCGCTGCTCGTCAACTCGACAGGTCTAGGGAGATACAAAGGCTTCTCGAGTACAGAACCGACGACCCTACATGGTCTCCGAGTTCACAGCGCACTGAATCCTCCCCTCCAGAGTCCCATACAGCTGAGCGAAATCGATCGCGGCACTCGCAAATCGAAGGAGATGGTTCAGATCAGGAGCAGGACTGCGTTCTTCAATCCGCCAGATGGGAGTACGTGCTCATTTTCCTAGGGACGAGTCTGCAGGTGACCCTAGTAGATGCTCCCCTGATCCCAACAGGTCACTTGCTCGAGAATTGTTCAAAATGAAAATACATCGGGAGACTTTTGTGATTGGTTGGTCCGGCTTCGGTTGGAGGAGCCCTTTTCTCTGATGAAGAGAACGTCCACGACAGGGAGTAGATTCGGCCTGCATCCTTGAATCTGATATCGATCTTGCGCCCTCAGTATCGCTTGAATTTTCATCCGAGTGACGTCCTCGGATGTCGCCTGCTTGATAGCCACCGGCTCAAGCCACGGACCCAGGTGGGAGAAATTATCTCATAGGAACGAGGAACTCGATGGGAATCCCAGGAGACACCCGAACGTCGGGTGGACCGTATCGAGTTGCCGTCTCTGACCCCGGAGCCCAGCACTGCAGACCCACGGTATTTTCCCCGTGCCAAGAAGATCGTAATGGTCCCTCATCCTTTCCCTCTCCCGCGCTCTCCATCGGGCGTTCCTTCGATCCTCGATCGGACTCTACAACGTGCCGAACACGAGCGATCGTTCAATCCGAAACGAAGAAAGTCCTCACGGAGAAATAGGTACCCTGACCGGGTGTTAATTTCCGTTTCTTTGAAGTGGTCTGCTCAAGCAACCAAGCTAAGGAATGCGGGCGTTGGTGTTCCCGGTTCAGCCGCCCTCTACCGGGTTTCTCCACCTTCCAATGGTCTCTATGGAGGAAGCAGTCGGCGCCGCCGCGTCTCCTTCTTTCCACAATGATACAGGTAGGTCAGCTGGAGGGAAAGCCAGCGATGCTGCGCTGCACCATCTCGCAAGCGGGCCCGAGCCCTGAGGGAGGATCATGACTAATCTCTGCGGTGCGTTCCTTCTCGCACTCTTCCGAGGCCCTTTCCGGGCCTAGAAGCCAATACCCAAAAAGGCCACCGCTACTAACTTAATACCAGACTTGAGCTAGGCCGCTCTCAGTAGCTTCGGGAGTGTCGAGTTCGTCGTTCGCGCCTGTCGTTGAGGGTTTGTGTTTGGTTCTGTGATCTCGTGATCCCACCGAAGGATCATGGCCTCCGTATCAAGGTCTAGCAAATACGTGTACAAGAGCAGCGGGGGATCCGGAGGCGACATTTCGATCGAGTATGGAACCGACCTCGGCGCCCTGACCAGGCTCGAGGTAAGAGAGGATTGGACGACTGTGATGCTCCGCAATTTTGGATTACGACGAGCTCAACGACGAAGAGAACAAGAGAAAAGTTGCTTCTGCAGAGCCAGAAGACGCTTCGGCTTCGCTTGTTAAGAGATACGCGACTCCGGGATGTCCGGAAGCGATCGTATCGTAGATCATGTGCTGTTCGCTTCGGAATATCAAGCTTTTCGGTGGTGACTGCGGGTGTACCTTCGATGCTTTCGAAGCCTGGGGGCGAGGGACGTGAGGTCGTATTAAGGTGTTGACGATTCCAGGACAAACTCCGTCTGCTCCATGAGGATCTGGACAGCGAGCGAGAGTTGAGGCAGAGGATTGAACGCGAACGATCCGATCTGCAATGTCAACTCATCGCACTTTCCGACCGCCTGGAAGAGGCCGAAGGTGGGGCCGAAACCCAGTGCGAGATGAACAAGAAACGGGACACTGAGCTGTCCAAGCTCAGGTATGTAAACGAATGGCTGCGTACGGGCTCGGAACTCGGCCGGCTGGGCTTCCCAGCCCCTGTCCGGGGGAGGAGCCTCCCCATGCTTTCCCCCGGCTCTGGTGCGATGGAGCTCGAGAGAGCTTGACGCGGCTCTGGAAAAATTAGTCGGTGAATCGCTCGAGGAAGTAATCTGTCGTCCATCCGATTGCAGGAAACTGCTCGAAGATGTCCACTTGGAAAGCGAAGAAACCGCCCACCATCTGCGCAAGAAGCACCAGGAAGCCATCGCTGAATTCCAAGAGCAGCTCGATGCGGTTGCTCGTGCCAAGGCCAAGTAAGAACCGGATCAGAATTTATCTAGCTCTCACGACTGCATTCAATCGATACCGAAACAGCTCAGAACAGAGATCATGACATAGAACCTGCTGTGAATTCCCGAACAGGGGAATTTCGTTCCCGATATTTTTCCGGATCAATGTTCGTAGCAGGAAACGGACAATGAAGAAAATCGCTCGCGAACACTTGATTCCCCTCATGAGGGATTGCGGGTCTGCAGCTCTAACCGAATGTCCGGCTTCCAGGTCCGAGAAAGAGAAGCAGAAGTTCCAGGCCGAAGTTTACGAATTGCTTGCTCAAGTCGAGAACGCCCAGAAGGAGAAAATGACTGCCATGAAGACCGTGGAGAAGCTCGAAACGACCGTTTATGAATTGAACATCCGTATCGAAGAGTTGAACCGAACCATCGTAGAGGTCACCGCTCAGAGGCGAGTTTTTCGGCTTAGTGGCGGCTCGAATAGCGAGGCGAGCGTCTAGAGCCCGAGCTAACCCTCTTCCCTCGAATAGGTCCCGCCTCAGCGCCGAGAACGCTGAGTACTTGAAAGAGATCCACGAGGTTAAGGTTTCCCTCGACAATGTCAACCACCTCAAAGGCCAACTCGCAACCCAGCTGGAAGACTGCCGCAGGCGTCTCGAAGAGGAGGACAGGGTATGTGTTTCCGACTTCATTGCAATATATCCGAGCAATCATCCGAGGGGGAGGGGCGAGGCGTCATTTCTCTCGGGAGGGGGAACAGGAAAAAAATAAAATGATAATCCGATTCGCAGAGGCGCTCCACTCTGGAAAACCACGTGCACACTCTGGAGGTCGAGATCGAGTCTCTGAAAGTTCAACTCGATGAGGAAGCCGAAGCCCGTCTGGAGATCGAGAGACAGCTGTCGAAGGCTAACGCTGACGCTGCCACGTACAAGAGCAAGTACGAGGCCGAATGCCAGGCGCATATCGACGAGGTCGAAGACCTTCGTCGCAAGATGGCTCAGAAGATCGCCGAGTACGAAGAGCAGCTCGAAGCCCTCCTGAACAGGTGCTCGTCGCTCGAGAAGCAGAAGTCGCGTCTGCAGTCCGAAGTCGAAGTCCTCATCATGGACCTCGAGAAGGCGACGGCTCACGCCCAGGCTCTCGAGAAACGCGTCGCGCAGCTCGAGAAACTCAACAACGATCTGAAGGCCAAGCTCGAGGAAGTCACCATGCTCATGGAGCAGGCGCAGAGGGACGCCCGGCAGAAGGCCGCCGAGCTCGCCAAACTTCAGCACGAGTACGAGAAGCTCCAAGAACAGAAGGACGCTCTCGCCCGAGAGAACAAGAAACTCAGCGACGATCTCCAGGACGCGAAGAGCTCGCTCGCCGATGCCATCCGTCGCCTCCACGAGCTCGAGATCGAGATCAAGCGTCTCGAGAACGAGCGTGACGAACTCAGCGCCGCCTACAAGGAGAGCGAGTCCCTGCGCAAGTCCGCCGAGAACCGCTGCCAGGTGCTCCAGTCCGAGCTCCAACAAGTTCGTCACGAGTACGAGAAGCGTCTCGCGCAGAAGGAAGAGGAACTCGAGGCGCTCCGCAAGCAGTACATGCTGGAAGTCGAGAATCTCAACATGCGTCTGGCCGATGCTGAGGCCAAGCTGAAGACCGAGGTCGCTCGCATCAAGAAGAAGATGCAGGCTCAGATCACCGAGCTCGAAATGTCGCTCGACGCCGCCAACAAGCAGAACCTCGACCTGCAGCGCGTCATCAAGAAGCAAGCCATGCAGATCCAGGAACTCCAGGCCCACTACGACGAGGTCGCTAGACAGCTCCAACAGACCCTCGACCAACTCGGTGTCACTCAAAGGAGGTGCCAGGGTCTCCAGGCCGAGCTGGATGAACAACGTGTCGCGCTTGAATCCGCCCTCCGCGGAAAACGCGTTGCTGAGCAGTCTCTCGAAGAGGCTCAGGTTCGCATCAATGAGCTCACCACCATCAACGTCAACATCGCTTCGGCCAAGAGCAAGCTCGAGGGCGAACTCTCTGCCCTCCAAGCCGACTACGATGAACTCCACAAGGAGCTCCGCGTTGTCGATGAACGCCTCCAGAGGACCCTTGTCGAGCTCAAGAGCACCAAGGATCTCCTCGTCGAGGAACAAGAGAAATACATCAAGGTCGAATCCATCAAGAAGTCGCTCGAGGTCGAGGTTCGCACCCTCCAAGTCAGGATCGAGGAAGTCGAAGCCAATGCTCTTGCTGGTGGCAAGAGGGTCATTGGAAAACTCGAGGCCAGGGTAAGCACGAGCGAACTGTTTTTTTCTCCGTCGCTTGCTCTCCATTCACGATGTAGGTACCTCCGAGGAGAAATGACGAAAAAAGCGACGGTATTACGAACGTCAAATTTCGTGAGCGGTAAAAGATGTCAATGACCTCTTCCTCTAACGGTACTCATTTTCATGACTCTTCTCTAGATCCGTGACATTGAGCTCGAACTTGACGAAGAGAAGAAACGCCACGGTGAGACTCAGAAGGTCCTCCGCAAGAAGGATCACCGTTCCAAGGAATTGCTTGTCCAGACCGAGGAAGACCACAAGACCATCACCATGCTCAATGACACCATTGAGAAGCTCAACGAGAAGGTTAAAGTCTACAAGAGGCAAATGACTGAGCAGGTTCGTGAGTAGATAGTTCGTAGAAGGGACTCGCCGAAGATCGCTCTCGATCGATCGATCCGACTTATTCTCTCCAAAGGCTGAGCGATCACCGACCCGTCGATGGGGATTGTGCCTTTCCCGAACACGCTTCGCTTGAATCGAGTCTGACGCTGATTTCTCTTCCTCAACGAAATTCGCAGGAAGGCCTCAGCCAGCAGAATCTGTCCCGTGTCCGTCGCTTCCAACGAGAGCTCGAAGCCGCCGAAGATAGAGCCGATTCTGCTGAAGGAAATCTCTCGCTTATCCGAGCCAAGCACAGGAGCTGGGTGACCACATCCAGCGTAAGTAGAGCCTTTTCGAACTAAAGTTATGCCGACATGTTGAAAGCAACAACACCGCCCGATGCGGGAGTGGACGTGGAACAGTCTTGACGTGGGAGGAAGCGAGGAGCCTCATTCGGTCCCGGAACTGGGAGAGTCGGGTCCGAAAAAAAATCCGTGTTCGGAACCAGACGTGTACTACACAGGAAGATGCGTCGAGGTTAAAATCAAATGAGAGTTTTCGGAGAATCGAGGGAGAGAAGTCAATGACCGACCGCTTTGCAGGTGCCCGGCGGCAGCCGACAAGTGTTCATCACAGAAGAGTCCTCCACCACTCAGATGTAAGCGTCAACTGCCCCGCACACATTTCCGGCAGTCAGATTCCTATGATTTCGGCCAGGGGTCGCTTGCCGAGTCTGCAAAGGAGCGACGATGCGACCCCTTTTTACTCCGTGCCAACGTGGTGACTCCGACTAAATCAGCTCAGCATCATAAGACGTCCCGTTTCATCTTCCTCGACGACGAAACAAGGCCGCCTTCCCAGTGGTCGATGTGTGAGATAAAGCAGCGAACGAATTTGTCGGGCGGGAAAAGGAGTTTCCGCATTCGCACGGAGTGCCCTCTCGAACGGCACTTTTTTGATCTTGGGAATATGGAAACAAGGGACCTACGTCGAAAAACCCTGTAGGTCTCTCTGACTGCAAAGGAACCAAGAATTTCCCGAGCTCGAAAGAGTAGCCTTTCACCAAGTTCCCAGCAACAAAGTTGAACGACGACCACCACCACAAATTCGACATGTATTTGAACCAAGTCGAGAAACGAAGAATCCTAAGAGAGCGAATGGATGTCTGAGCGTGTGATGCGTGCACGCATATATCATACCATGGAGCCGACGAATCAAAATCGAACGATGGAGTATCGATGCAGGCCATGTCAAGCAATTTTTGTTATTTATCGAACTAATAATAATAATAAAAAAGGCGCCAAGTATGTCATTGCCTGTTTTATTACTTTGACCGGCTCCATCCCGGATCGGTTCAAGCCGAGAATGATTTCGAGAGCCAGGGAAGCTGCTCACTGAGGAATTATCTCCTAAAAAAAATGGAGAACTCATGGAGTTCCGACCTTTCCGAGGAGCCATGAAAATCATCCATCATCGGTCTTCTGCGGCTTCTCGATTGTGCACGATGAGATGTAGATCGACAGCGTGATTATTGTGCTTGTCAACAGCGAAACGAAGCAAGTGAGGAACCACCATATGGCTTCGCTGCGCCTGTAAAATCGATCCCGCATTAACTTTACGGAGACCTTCTGACCGTCATTTGGGAGGACTCGGGAGAGAAACTTCGGATTTTGAACCGGACACTGAGACTGAACAATTATCTGTCGTTCTCCGTAGTGGAATAATTGATCCTGTCCCGATAACTCTCGATAATTATTACGAATTATGTTTCATGAAAAATTCCACCGGGAGATATGCACTTTTCTGGTGATTTCTGCCTCTTTTCCGAAGCTGATGTAGTCTTCCGCGAAGCGGCAGCCGGGTTTGCGAGAGGCACGGATGTCAAACCCTGAGACGTGGGTACAATGATCGAATAAGATTGAGGTGCTTTCCCTGGCTTCTGTTGCTTTTTCTTCCCTCCTCTTTTCTTGGGTTTCCGCGTAGGACTCCGTGAACTACGATCACTTTCACTACTGTGCGAGGATAATGTCTCAAGCCCACCCCCGTATCGCTTGACAGACTGCATGGGTTGTTGCGAAAACTTGAACGGCCCGAGAAGGTGAGACCGTTGACCGTTTTCGTTATCCTCGCTCCTTCGCCGAAGCAAGTTCCACCTCTTTGACGCTCACTCTCTAAGTCCTGACGCCATAGCCTCTCAGTCAGTCTGTCATTGGTTCCTCTGATCTTCTCGACTGGATGCTTGTAACTCGTGATTAATAAAGCCCTCGCGTCTGTGAGAACATTCTGGGCTACTTGCCGAGAGCCCATACAACATACAACGAAGTGATCTGCTGTCCAATTGTCCACCCAGACCTCAAAGCAAGATGCCGACTTCTTCAGATTGCGATCCGATCTTGAGAAATCTGAAGTTCCGCCAACTCCGAGCATCAGACGCCGCAGAGATGTTGCGTTTCCATCGACGGAATTTGATCGTTCCGGCGAATCTGCATTACATACAGGTATAAGGTCTGCTCTTGATCTCGAACTTCATCTAAATACTGTTTCAGTATTACAGACATTGAATGGGGTTATCGGAAGCATTTCAGACGCTGACGGCTTCTCCGAATTGGTCCTTTGGGGTTTTCGAAGGCACCACGAATGAGCTTATCGCTACGATACTCACGAGGAGATGTCCTCCCACGTACCACATACGATACAGAACTCGACCCGAAGGCTCGTTCCTTTACGTGGCACAGTTGGCCGTAGCTGAGCGTTATCGACGGCAAGGACTCGCGAGAATCCTTCTAGCCACCTTAGAAAACTCCGAAATCTATCCTATGGCCTCTCGAACAAGCTACGTTTTCCTGCATGTGATGGCGGAGAACATCGGAGCGATTCGCCTGTACGAAAAATGTGGCTTCACTCATTCATGTTTCGTTCCGGATATGTACAGGAAGACTGGTCAAAAGGACGGTTTTGAGATGATAAAACCAGTCGATAGCGGAGGCTCCGGAGCCAAGAAAGAGTTGAAGAAGAAGAGACGCCTAATGTCTTTTCTTCGCAATAATCTTCCGTTCCTTTCCCGATGTTTCTAAGAATACAGGCTCATCAGATCTGAATGAGTGCCCCTCGGTGCTCTGCACGCGGATGTATGATTTCGGAATTCAAGCCGTGACCTATTTCGTGTCAGATATTTCCGCTCGATCTGCCGCCTTAAAGGTTCCGCTCATATAAGGCTAACACAACAAAGAAAATCGACTTCGAAGACAGTCTTAACTTTCGCCGCTTGTGATGAGGACCCTTCTGTTGGAAGCACACAGAGAATTTCGGAGAGGCTTCGGAAGAGGCGGAGAGGCATTCCAGAGGCGATAGATTCCGGTCGACCCGGCTGTACCCCCTGAAGATATCGTATTCATGCAGAGGAGCGCCCGGGTCCGGAGCTTACACTAATTTATGGGAAGTCAATTTAAAATGAGGGATGGTACCAAGAGAACTCCATGCTTCAATCCAGCCAAATGATTCCCGGGAACACTCCACCTGATCGATTTTAGACGAATGTTAGCAGGGGACTCGGGAAAGAGAGAATCATTCGCACAATAAAACAACACGGAGCGGCGTATGATGCCTAGTGGCTACTCATGATGTCATCCGATAGGATCATCCTGCGAGGGAACGGCTCGCTTCTGAAAGCTCGGATAGGTCATCTTCAATCTGTGAGCCTCGGCGGGGAAGAAGTATCTCAACGAGCTGGATTCGGCTGGGATGATCGGAAGTAGGGTGTTCCGTAAGGAGTGAGGCGCGTCGCCGCTAAGAGCATCGGCCACTGCCTGGGGAACAGATTCCGTCGCCCCCGATCGAGCTCCGAATGTGCTGTCGCAGTGCCCCGCCGTCAGAGAAGCTGTTTGGGAGACTCCCCCAACCGGGGGAGAACATCAGCGAAATTTTCTGGAGAACACCTGTACACAGCAAAATAGGAGAGGCGGATAGAATTTCTCGAAAGCAATGCTTCGCTTGGACAGTCCGGAAGAGTCTCTAGGCGATGAACATGTTCCTCCGGGATTACTCAATCTCTCTGGAAAACTCATCTCGATCTGGAACACGCACTCTCGCTCTCGCCAGAGCAGACATCATCGGCCTCAGTCAGCGCATTATATGGCCCGTCCAATTTCCTACTTATTCCTGAGGGACTCTTTATGTTTCCGGAAATCTCATCAGCTTTATGATTGCGATTCTCGCGACAAAATCCGGTTCTTCTGGGAAAGCATCTCTCTGTTGAAGACGTCAGACTCTTTTCGGGCTGGCCCCAACACCTCCTATTGTCGGCACAGCTGGCGCCCGATGATGGTTTGAGGGGGGGCAAGAATCGCTACATAAGCGATATTATCGACGAGAAGTGGAATCTTTCCCTTGCCATTCCCAGTGCTAGACTCGAGCTTCCCGGGGATTACAAGACCCAGATTCGCCGACTTTCCATCGGTGAGGAATACTCCGGAGGCAGAACGTGATTCCGTTTCTCTTTCCTTGGTCTTCGGTCAATCAATTCTTGGTACGGATACCACCGATACCATGATACCATTCGCATACGCTTCCCTTCTGCTGCAGAGTATCTCACTGGTGAGATGAATATCATCGTCAGAGCTTGTGATCTCGAGTTCTCTCGACTCTGCTCATTGCGCGCGGTGATCTCGAATTTTGGGAGTGAAGAAGTGATAAGCAAGACACTCCCGGAGCAAACGGCCGGAGTAGAGCTCAAATGTTCGGATTGGGTCGACGACAATGTGCTTGGTATCGCCGTCAGATTTTTCATGCGACCCACCAAGGTCACGAAATAGATGAATAATAATATTATTCAACTCACGAATCTTTAATAGTGTTTTGGCTCGGTTTCGGAGAGCAGATGGTGCTAGCGAAAATTATTGGTAGGTACTTTCCGCTTTTAGACAAGTCGTCCCTCGGGAGAAGAGCTAGCAGCACATACTACTCCGGAGCGCTACAACTGGTGTGCAACGATCGATACAGCCGCAGAGGATCGAATTAGTCTTCTGGTTTAAGCGAGCAATGGATTGGGAACAAATGTCCGTCGTAGAAAGTTTTTCGTGGAGCGATTTCTGACCTCCGGATTCGGGGCTGTGCGAGGTTCGAGAGGAGAGTCTGTTCGAATTGCGGAAGGTAAGAAAACATCGATCATAGACCATGTCCACATTTGTGGGACCGGATAATCGAAAGCGTCGGGTCTGACCGAGGCGTGCGTTTTTTCGCAGCTTGCAGAGCGATCGGGGACTCGGCTTCGGGATTTTCCTTCCACATACCGCGGCAAGGTGACAAAACTGTGATTATGATCAACCATCCAGCTTCCTCAATCGGCCTCTGATGAATGGATGTGGGAAGTGTTTACGCGACGCTATCAAAATGTTGGTCAAGTGACTAGAAGACCGTCCCGCATCTCTTTCGAAGATGTATCTCCCGGTAGATGAGAGATGGTGAGCAACCGAAGGAGACGGGGACGAGCGAGATGTGGGGCATGGGCTTTAGCCTGATCGAAACTTTCCATATCGTGGGGATTCCCGCGGGCATGGTTCGAGAAGAAACCTGAGTCTGAATGAATTTACAGCTCCGAAGACCTTTACCCGAGCAGTGCTTGGGTCCACATCACATCGAGATCCGTCAACTTGATCCTATCAATGGTCGGAATCGTAGGCGATTTCCTTATGCTCCTCACGATACACTACGGACAGCTCAATGATTCTCCATATGTGTATTTGAAGTGCATCGCGCTAGCAAACCTCATCCTACTTTTTTGTCACCTGAGCCAAGCGGCTGCATCGTGCGAATCATGCCAGCTCAGCCTCGAAATGATGTATTATTATAAGCTTGTGTACTGGTTAGTATGCGATGACGCGAACCGAAGATTACCGGCCGAGGTTCCTTGGTACCGGAGGTCTTGCGTACATTGCTGCCATCATCTATACCTCATACCGAATCATCGAATTGCAGGTACTGCTACACCGTGCTCATTAATTTCATGAGAACCTGGTTGATACTCCTGACGCTCATCATGACGATGGAAAGGTGGGATTTCCGATCCTTGATCCCTCCCAGATTATTTACCTCTACGAAACAGGCTTTTTCGCTCAGCATCTCCGGCCTGGAGCCCCGAGATTTCATTCGTCTTATCATTGCATCCAGATTCGTCTATGTACAATGGCCCCTGAAAACGCGCACATTATGCACCAGGGAACGAGCACGGAAGATTTGCGTTGCGATTTTCCTTTTGTCCTGCATCTCCGCGTTTCTGATTCCTATTCAGATCAGAATAGGAATAAAATATCGGAAGTTACCGAAGCCCGGCCCTCCCGCTCGAACTTTCGATTTCTATTGCACACCGGACTTGAACGAGGTTTGTTGCCTTTTTGATGCGCGCGCGATTTGCGGCCGGAATCATGTATATCGAGTGAACGGATCATTCCCTGTTAACCAAGACCCGATCAAGATGCTGCTCATGAATGGTCTTGGCCTGACAGAGAGACAGGTACCTCTTCTTGTCGAGAGTACCGCTTTCCTTTAGAAGCTAGCATGTGATGGAGCTCCAAAAACTCAAAGTCTACGCCCCGTCTTATTGAATTCAATTTTCTGCAGAGGACCTTCAGTTCTCCTCTCTTCCTGAGGGGTTCCTTTCCTCAGTGAGGATAGGTTAGCCCAGAGAGTGCTCCTAGAAAAAAATCGGCGGGTGCCCCAGATCTCCCTGGGATTCTCTGAGCTGCTAAAGTCCGGACTTGACTCGCAGCTGATTCATTTTGCAGACTTCGTCCGAGAATCTTTTCGAGTGTCACAAAAAAAGCTTCAAAGAGCGGAGAAACGAGTTAAGTGCCCCAACGCAAACCCCAGACTGTGAAAAGCAGCTCTGTGATCTGCCGCGAATACTCCAAAGTCAGCGTTTCAATTTTTCCGAGCTCGGCTCAAAGCGCAACATGTTCAAGTACACTTCCACGAGACTCAACGTGACTGTTGTGGTTAGTAGATCGAGCCCGTTCGCTGGTCGTCGTATTCCCCTGCGACAGTCTAATTCATGATTTTTTTCAGAAAAGGCGCTTCAAAACACAACCGAATGTTTATAACAAAACCTTCCCGTACGAAGAGCTCATCGGCCGGGCTGTTCACGTCAATGATACCTGTGAGTCATGCAAGCTGCTCGGAAGCATCACGCTCGAAACTTCCTCCCCATGAACTACGATTCCTACGGCGAGCTCGTTTTCGCAGGTGAGTTCTTCCTGAATCCGCGCAATGTGAAGTCGATCTTCAAGAACTTCTATAGCCACCTCGTGATGCAGCATGTGGAATCAGTCCGATGCATGGAAGCGTCGGATCGTCCCGGCTGGCAGGGACGCTTCTCGAAGATTTACGGCAGGCTTATGATGGGTTTCCGAATATTCTCAACCGTTGCCCTGACAGTTCTCAGTCTTCTCATCGTTATGGTGGTGAGTGCGACTTCGGAAGGTCATCTTGGTATCAGGAGTTCACGGGAGTAGACTAGGCTAGCACTGTAGGTAGGAGCAGTTATCAGAGGTAATCTGATCATCTCGGATCCCTCTCACTCAGGTCCCACGTATCTCGCTAGATACTGAGGAGTCGAATCCTTGCGAATGTTAGACTAAATACGTACCCATCTCTCAGGTTCGTAAAGCCAATCGCGAAGCGAAACGGAGTGTTTTGTCGCAGAACGAGGAAAGTACGACCCTGAAACGCCGAATCGAAGAGAATCGCTTGACCATGTCCCTCCTTGCCTTACCCACAATCAGCATTGTATGTGATGTACTCTTCTTCACTAGCCTACCTCGGATCGCGCGCGGAATTTACACAGATGTCTGTGAGTCTGAGCGAAAAATTGATCTCGCAGACGCAAGGTTGCACGCCGAGTTCTCTCCTCTCTTATTCCTTACAGCCCCGCCCGGGACTCCTCTGAAGATTCATTCGATCGTTTCGACCGCGGCTTACATGGTCAAATACTCCTGTTACTTCTATATCCTGGCCTTCATCAACCGCAAGTTCAAACAGGAATTCCTCCAGCGCGTCATATACGGGAAGCTGCAAGTTCATAAGATAGTTAATAAGATCCGCAACATTTCGCCGGTTACACGCACGACTCAAGTCTCCGCGCCCCCGGTAAGTGGGATCGGGAGAAGTTATGCCTCAATTTCATACTCATCAGGAGATTTCGAGTTCACTCTTCGAGCTACGATGATCTTTCGAGCCAACCTCTCGTGTTCAGGATTTCAGCCCTCCGGATTCCAGCTCGGGTCAGAATTCAGGAGATCCATCACACAGCAATGAATCGGAGAAAACCGTGAGCGACAGGGTCTTCTGATAGTCAGAGAGGTATCCCCTTCAAATATCCGACCAGCGTTCATCAACGGAGCGCCGCGGGAAGAGGCGCTCCAGATTGTTTCCAATGTTATATACAAAGAATACCTGGATAAATTCCGTGTTTCGTCCATCAATGTGACCGGATCATAATGGGAAGATCCCATAGGAGCTGGTCATGCAAGTTCGTTCGATTCTCCCCTTTATGGTTGTCCTCTGAAAAGTCTCTGGATATTTTTTTCACCTTCCGAGCCCCTTACGGCAACGCTGCACCGATCCACGGTAAGCTGGGGACCTGTTCATCTTCCCCAGATGGAGCACCCACGCCAAGTCACTGCTCAGTAATCTGTGCTCCCTACTCCTTCGATTTTACAGGAATTCGAATCGCTTGGAACGTACTCCGCCCTTGGAGATTTTAGGGGGAGATGACGGTTCCAGTCCCCTTGGACGAGGCGGGGACGGTCGGAGACTCCTCGAGACCCGCTATAGCCTCCGAGAGAACAGAGACTCATAGAGGCGCTATGCCTCGCGAGGAATTCACCGGGTCGGGGAATGCCACATTCTTACCCAAGAACGGAGTAATGTTCTCCATACGAAGCCTTGTCTGGTCCGGACATTCGGGAGCGATGAAAAGGAGCTACATCGGTTGAAAAATCGCCAAATCTCGACGTAACATCACGAAACACTCGAATCTGTCGCTTCTTGTCGCAATGTATGAATTCGAAAAAAAGAAGCCCCCGAAGGAAATCACGAATTGCCCGAAGTGCTTGGCTCCCACCTACAGATGTTCGAGAGACATGATATGCGCACCATCCCGTTGTCGACTTCGAAACATGGCAAATAATCGAGAGCATATACAGCTGTCCCGTGTTCTTTGCTTTCGTTCCGTGAGACGGAAGAGCAAGCAGAGGAGCGCTGCGCCACTTATATGAATATGCAATCACCCTGGCGGTCTGGAATCTCCGAAGACCCAGCGATCCAATCTCAATGTTATCCTCGATTGGAGTCTTTGCTCGCCGAAATGCCAGCGGAGATCGGAGCTGGAGGCCCCAACCTGCCGGGGAGCGGAGAAAAAACTGTTTTCAGGGTACCCCAAGTAATGACTTGAATGGAAAGCGATGACTAATGACCAAGATTCAGCGGAGGGAGGTAACCGATTCCTTGCGCACTTCGGCGGGGCATCCTTGGCATCGATTTTCCCCAAAATTGACAAGTTAGAAATAATTCAGAATGGTCTGCATCGGGTTCTGACATTACCGCATCGACGTTGGAATCGACAGTCAGGGGGGTCAATCGAGCAGACTTCCACGACAAACCCACCTCTCTTGTTCGGGGCACCCCCGGCTGTTCCTCGCGGGGAAAATTGAGCAACGTATCCCCCATATTATAAAATGGGAGGGGAGACATCGTTCGAGTATTTCACTCAATGAGTCATCCATTATGTCATTTCGCTGAAGTTCACTGTTCACAGAGAAAAGATCAAAAGGCCAATCGGGGCAGAGGGATCCGGTAGAACGAGAACGAACCGTTTTCTGCAGGTTTCCTTCGTGATGCCGCGGATGAGGGATCCTGAAATCATCGATCGATTCGCTGACTTCCAACGCAAGCTTACCAAATGTCTTGAGCTCTCTGGAAGAACTCTTCAGAAGCTACCAGCAGACGATTCGTCTCCTTCGCACCAGGACCGGAGATCCCTCCGTTGACGATTTCGGACGGATCAGATAGATCCCGTCTCTGCTCCGAGTCCTTCCCGATCAGACAAGTCCCTTCCAAGCATAGCCGATTTTTTCCGTCAAAACTTCCCGCATGGCTGACTTTTTTGGAGAGCCAAAACTGATTCTCCCGGCCTGAGGGCTTGTGATGGTTGTTGCTTTCATCTCTTGACTTGGCAAAGAGCCAGTAGAGGAGGGCGTTTCGCAACATACAGCAATGAGAACAGAGTATCAGCGCTGTCAACACGATTTTTCCGAGGGTTCCATTCTTGTTGGGGACGAAATGGGAATCAATCTGGAGAAAGTGCTATCGACGTCATCTGTCCCGGAATCCTGATGCGCAGCAGATGACTCCGCTCAGGAATGGATCGATGAAGGAAAGTGGAGTGAAGACTAATTCCGCCATCGACCGGGTTGTGCCGTGCCGGCTTCGGTTTATTCCTTTCCTTGAATTCTATTCGAATTGCTACAAACAATAACTCAGATGCCCGCCTAAAGATACGGCCATTTCTCAATCGGAGAGGGTCGTTCTTGGCCATCGGCTTGTCAATTCTCCAACAAGTTTCCACAATATTTCGCTTCGCAACGCTCCTTTACCGAATCCAATTATCTCCATAACGATTTGTCGAGGTCATCATTTCATCGGTTGATTTGTCAGCGGCGTTACTCAGGCTTGGCTGAGCGAACTCTTGGCGTCTTCGGTTCTGCTGGGGATCTTCGCCCTCGAGTCCCTTCTCCGCATGAATTCTCCCCGCTCCCCATTCGAGCGTCTCGTCCGGACTCGCTGGCTGCGAAGTCTTGTGTCTCTCGATTTCGAGCTCCTCACTGAGAGCGATAAGCTTATGGGCGCAATTCATGCGATAAGAGAATTTCCCGATTACGAAGGCAGCTGCCGCTGTCGCCAGGTAGATCGGGAGCTTAGGAGTTCCTTGCTCGATGGATATTCTTTTCGTTTTCAGCGCCCAGGCGACAGCCAAAACGGAACTTACCATCAGCGGAGCGCTTCGGTATATGAAAGCCTCTCGCCCACATTCTCGTAGGGCTCCTAGCTTCTGCGGGGAGGGCGCGGACGGTGCGTGATCCCTTGACGGATCTTCGGGGCTCTGACTCTGCATGGGACTTCCTCGGATTGAGATTCAACGAGACGGGGGTGTCAGATGCTATCGTTGCCCGGACTCCAAAGTTCCTGTGCGCGGACCGGTCGTCAGGTCGATTGAACAGAGGAGAAGTTTGGTTCCGAGCGAGGACAACATTCCATCGATTCAGAATAAGATGCGGTTCTCATTCGAATCTCACAATGCTGATCTCTTCTGTCACCTGAGAGTCTGAATTGCTTGACTCGATTGATCGTAGAGAACTCGACTTACGCTACGACTGTTCCACGCACTAACTCACTCAGAGTGTGATCAGAATGTTGTTCCGTCGTTTAATATACCGCGGAACTTCCCACAGACTTCATCGCTTGTTAACCCGCGGTTTCAAACTGCCTCTCGGAGTGGCTCGTTAGAAGGATCAGACTCTTCGAAAAATCGATTGTCGAATAAATCAAGCCTCAGGAAAGGCGATTGCACCGCGAAACGGAGTCTCGCCTTTTTCACTCCTCTGTCTCAATGATTGAGGTGGCTTTCAACGCTCCGAGATTTTCCCGAGCCTGGCCATATTCAGATCAGTATCTCGCTCCGTGGCGAGTGACGGAGCTCACGGGGGAAAGTCCCTGTCGTCAAGGATGATTGCAGCCAATCAGGAGAACAGAGGGTGAAACGCAGCGTTGTCGTCGCATCACTCGCTGGGGCAGCGCTCTGTTTCACCGCCTCGTTCCCCTGAATAATGCATCAGGAGTCCGCACGAGGACGAATCAAGAAAAAAAGAATCGAATCGATATCCTCCCGTTCGGGCATCAGTTAAGGTGCTTCAGTATCTTCACTCGAAATACGCATGTCGCAGACGGAATGGTTCCCTGGAATACTATCCTCCCCTGCTCGAGCTTCTTCCTCGTATAGTTCCGGAATGGAGGGTCCATCTCATGTATAGGCTCTCACTCCGCCGGGTGGTCAGTCCAAATTTCGCTGAAGAGGAAAATAAGGTTTCCTTCTGCGATTCGTTCAAAACATATGTCGGAATGGGACGCAGAGTCTAATTTGAAATTAGATCCTCTCAATCTTCGCGAGCTCCGTGCGGACTGGATTACCCGCCGTCTTATCTGCTCAGAGATCCTTCTGAAGCTTTCATCGTCTGAAGAATCGTATTCGCTGTGAATTTTTAGATCCTAGAGGCATGCCGATCGAGAACCACACGATTCCATGATTCGAAGCTTCACTGAGGCGAGGGAACTTATGCTTACGATTAGATGAAGGAGCTCCCTCTCTCGTCTCTCCTCGCATTCTTGGATACGACTCGATAGACGTGCGTTTCGAACTTCTTCCCTCCCAGACACCGAGGCTCAGGAACGATGATCGGGAATCTTTCAGCAGTTGCGGCGTGAATGGCGCGGACCTCAATCGATGGCGAGCGACTACGATTCTCGTTCTCGGAGCGGGCGACACGCGGCAGAACAAAAAACTACGTAGGTCGCTAGCTTCGCTCTATTGGAAACGACAACGTGGTCCCGAAGATTTTTGAGGGGACGTCTCCAGGGGGAGACTACATTCGCAACGGCTGCTGTGCGTGGCATAAGTGCATAAGTCAACGTTCTGTCTCGTACGACGCGACGAAGTCCGAGGTGAATCTGCAAAGGTGCTGAGAGACGGCGGAAAGCCGCCGCGGGACCGCTATTGGCTGCTGGAGTTTCTCGGGGGGAGCTCTGATGGATCTCGGGTATTCGGGCAACTAAGCTGGTCGGGGAGAATGGCTTAAGACCGATCTGCAGTCGACGGACGCGAGTGAGAAATATCCAGCTCACCTCCAATTGTCTTGCTCGAGTCCTTGGCGGAGGAACCTGCGAGCTCCCAAAGTCTCATGGACTTTAAGAAAGTCCCGTTGATTATGATTCATCAACGAATTTACCGGTCGCGACCGGACACAAAGATACGGCATTTTTCCAAAAATTTATTCCAGGCTCCAAAATCGGGGAATGGAACACTCATTCAGAGTCTCAAATGAATTCAAGCATACACGACACTTGATTGTAGTGAGATGTCGAATGGCGGTCTTGACTGTATTCTAGAACACAGCACTTGGGATTACACAGCTCCTCAGTTTCCAATTGTAACACGGTTTATCACGGCTGATCTGACGGCCGATCATTCCGATGAATGATCCCTAAAACTTCACGACGACTTCGGGCTCACGCATCAATCGCAACGGGGATATAGATTTCCTACATTCATACAATCGGTTAGACTCGATATCTTATAAACTTTTGACATCAGATCTTTCCCCCAGTTTAAGCAGGCTGGGATAGACGTACGAATCGGGAATCGTCGATCTCCGATTCCGCAAACTCTCATCAGATTATGGCTCAGAAGTTCATGATGAATATGAATTATGTCCTAATGTCCTTTCCTGCATCGATTTGAATTTTCCATTGCAAACAATTTCGAAACATTAGCTCCCACAAGAAAGGGCTGAAAGTCAAAGCTCACTCAATTAATTTAGGGAAGGACAACAATCGGTAACTTCCCCCCGGAACCGTTCATGTCTCGGAGCAAGGATCATCTCAAGCATCAAGAAAGAGTGTCGGATAAGTAGGTCAGTGAATTCCTAGAGAATCGCCAACTAACGTGAGCTCATGAGATTACTATTCATCTCCGAAAATTTCATCGAGAGCGCGCCCGAAACACGGGAGCGACCCCTGTCCAACAACCGCGATTGAGCGGAGCTTCTTCACCCTGACGAGACGGTCGCTGCGAGCCATCTCGGAAGACGAAGCGAGATAATAGATATCATACGGATTCGCGGGAGTCGGAGGAGCAGCTGGTCCATGGACAAGCTCGACACGTATGGTTCTACTTGATTCGACGCAGGTCGCTCTCCCTCCCCCATGGTCCTCGCTTCCATGGCAAGAATGGCACTTTGTTTACAAAGACTCCGATCATTTGGGATGCAAATCACCGGAAGGACGAACCGTCCCAATGGTTTCCTTTGCGCCATCGTTTCTCAATCTATCCCCAACAGGAACTTGTTCGAAGAGCTCGTCGATCACATCTCGGCACACGCACGGGCGTCGCGCTGTCGATTTCGAATTTCGAATCACTCGGTGAAAAATCTCCCTCGGAACGGCAGGAGGCAGTAGGGACCAGAACGTTTGCCGCCGTTCTGTCGAGAACATCAAACTACTGCGGTGACAGGAAATACCTGCAACGAAACGAGAAGTTCCTAGCTCATTGGGGTGCGGAGACAGCTTACCGCCCGAGTGTCAGAAATTCGGTTGTTTTGGATTTTCTTTGAGGAGCAATCGCATTCGAAGAGGAGCGCAACACCGCCGTCTTTTCTACGATTTTAGCGAGCCCCGCAGCGCTCGATCGAGAGTGTGAACAACCTCGTAGAGCTCGCTGAGAGACGTATCGCTGACGCAACTTCGCCCCGCGATGAAATGGTTGCCCGCCCAATGGAAAACCTCCCCATATCAGTTCAAGGAGAGCTAAGGTTGAGGAAGCAATTCCATGGAGACCCAGCCGCCAGCGGAATTCCTCCCGATGGTATCGGTCATGGAGGAGATTCGAATATCGAGCTCGGAAATCATCTTACCATTCCGTCAGTGCCGTGACTCCGTCGAGCTGATCGAGCGAAAGCGTGAGCTGACCCAAGAGTTTTCGGCCACTGTGATTCATTCGCTTGTTGACGTTGAACACACTCGTTTTCTTTGAGCTCTTGCAGCACACCTGCAGGTGCAGCGACACCAAAGTCAGCTCGTGAGGCTGTACGTCCATCTCGACGCTGCAAGGAAATACGTAACGTCAGTCTATGCATGTAAGAGGATACGGATTCTAGCGTGCCGGGGTATACTGCACTCCGGGATTTTCCTTGGAGTACATGCAAGTCCGGAGGTTTGGATGAGCTGCAGAATAACAGACCGATATCTGCTCTCTCTATCGAGAAGGAAATTCTCTAGAGTGATCGCAACACAGGATGTTCATTATCTGGAGTCAAAGGATCTGCTGATCGATATGGTCTCAGAAAGAATCGGAGTTGCGAAGACGCAGCATATCAATTAGAGGAATTGCTTACTTCGAGAAGGGACGAGGGAGCAGACTGCTCGGCGATCCTCTGTGACCCAAGTCGGGCATTCGATACAATCGATAGGCCGAGATAGATTAACAAATTAGAGAGACTCGGAATTGAGGTGAAGTCCCACGCCTACTGACTTTCTATTTGACGGAAAGGCTTCAGTTCTTCAGACAGAACGAGGTACTGAGCGATCCTAGCGAGGTGTCGCACGAGGTGCCTCAGGTGAGCCCCCTAGGGCCGATGCTATAGATCTCACTCGATCCGAGAGCGGAATGCGGCTGATAATCGACGTCTCCACGAAAGCTGGTGGATGGTGCCTTGAAAGGGCAGAGCTCAGATCGCAATGGTGAAAGTGAAAGCTCGGGGGATAAAATCCCTCCGAGAGAGCGTTTTCTCCGAGCGGATTGCGCGCGGACAGTGGCTACCCCTCTTCGTCGAGATTTCGGTGTTTCATCTGAGACTTGAGAAATTCGACGAAGGCAAGCGAAGCCAAGATCGATTCTTGTCCTCAACTCCGATGGAAACTTGCCAACGATGTCGAAACATGGCAGTGTGGAAGGATTCTCTTTTTTCCGAGAGGCATGCAGTCTCGATCGTTGACGAGACGTCGACAAAACTGATAGAGTTCTGTCGATAGGCTTCGCATGCGATCCGATTCATTGAACGGTCGGGGTCAACGGAGCGAGCTGACGAACTTCTCCGCAAAGCGGAACGATCGACAATTTCCTATCTCCGGTTTCTAGGGAAAAAGAGGATTCGGGTCGAGGACGACCTTGGAGGGACCTGGGCTTTCGGAATCGAGCATCGGCTGGAATAATGAAACGCTAATGCACAAAGGTCGGCTCGTTTAACAGCACCTCGAATTTGCATGCTGATCCCTCAGGGCGGCTCGATTCGAATTCGGTGCTCGACACGATTCGCAGAGAATAGGACCCTTATGACGAGGGGATTCGTTTGCGTTCGTGATCCCTCATCAGATCGGGTCGGGACCGAATCGGGCATTCAGAAAACATCGGGAACGGTACGGACGCCGTTCTTGGATTTCAGCGAGGCTCCCCGACGCATTGAGACGAGAATGAGGATCATTCCTCGAATGCTTAAAATCATCGATTCGTGATGGAATATCCCGAGGCGGAATCAAAATTCTCGCGTCCACTCCGAGCGAGCGATTCCACGAGGCGGAACTAATCTGCGGCGTTTTCTCCAACTCGTTCTCGACGTCTTAGTGAAGTGAAAATTGATGCAATCCCGGATGTTGTTCTCAAACTTGTCAGATTGATCCTTCGAAAGTGCCTCCTTGGATAGCTGCCAACAATGGTCGTAGATCATCGGAAGTCTCGCGCAAGTGGAGGAAGCGGACCGCGTGAACAAATAGGGATGAACTCGACGGCGTGCGATGTGAGTCGAATGTGGAGAAGTTTCGGAGCAGCGAGCCGATCAGACATTGTTTCCACGGATGTGAAACTTTCAGAGGAATCGGTCTAACACATCCCAATGGAGCGCTCCGGCGGTCTAGATCGAATATTATTCTTCCCCTGTGGATCCCAATAAGCTCGAGTTTTCCTCCGAGATCGATCTCTAGAGTATGATCTTTTTATGACTTACGTTTCGTCGAAGTCTATGCAGCCCAAAGAAGAAGCCTTGATCGGACGCGTTTTATGTTTGCTCTCCTTGTGCTTGTTCGTGTCGCAAGGACTCAGCGCCACCTTGACGTATACCTCATCGTCCTCTGATGCTACAATCGATGGAGGTAGGTCCCTGCAATCATCGAGGAAGTCACGATCCAGATTCTCTCAAGTCTGCACCCCTTCCCCCTCTCCCTCTTTTGCGGCGGAAGCGGGAACGGAACGAGACCTGTGTTCAAACTAATTGCAGTTGTCCTTCGAACAGGAGGGGAGCAAATTCGACTCGCCTCCTCTCCGCCTCGTAGACTCGCGACAGCATCGACCGGTAGGTCAGCCGCCCTCCGTAAAAGTAAACTAAAGACGTAAATAGCAGAAAGTTTCGGCTCCAAATACGCGAGTGATCAGAAATAGTCTCCGTTTGATGACGCAGACCCCTCTCGAAATATCTACGAATCGATTCACGAAATGGTATTGGGGACACGAAAACGGATCCATTAGGCCAAAAGAGCTAAGATCGGCGCATACAGCCGATCCCCGTGGAGGCAGCGAGCTCTATCCCCTGGTCTATGGCCATCTTTCACCTTCCGTCATCCCGGTATCCGACATTTCATGGGGGATAGAAAATTGTTCCCCGCGAGATTTCTCCCTGACAAAGGAAGGGACAGGAATCCTTAGAATCCGACAGGAATTCTGCCTGTTGTACGATGCAGAAAATTACCTTCATACATCTGCCTGCAGTCACCGCTTCTAATGACCCGATTGGGAACGAGAACCCAGAGTCTCGCTCGGGATTGGGCATTGCATGTTTCACATCCGGTGTGGAAGGATCGGACGGGAGTAGGGAGCGGAAATCATTTTGCAACTCACCTCATCTGATGAACGACGCAGACCAGGCGGTTCCGGGGTGGTGAATACCTCAAGGTTATTCTTATTTGTGTGCTCAACGTCGAAGACCGGCTCAAGCTACCGAGAGACGGACTGAAATGAGAACAAAAGCAGGATGTAGAAATCTCGGAACTATCCCATGTTAGCAATTATTTTGAATCAATCACGCGAAATGTTCCTAGGGATCCTACCGAGCTTATTAGACGGAATACAAAGACGATTCTGGGAAGCCCGCGCGTGAGACACAGGGCTCATTCGAGTGCCTCTGACGATCGTGTCGTCACTCAAGGAGTTTCGCAAAAAGTAGTTCCCAATAATATTGGATATCTTTGATTGCAACCCTGGAGACCGACAGGGCTCTGTATCTTCGATTGCTCCTCGCTGCCCCTGGGCGCTGTACCGCTATTTGCTCGGGATACTCATTGAGCGGCGACGATTGATACGAGCGCGGTTCACCGTAGCTGCGTCGTACATTCGAAGCAAAATGTACGGGATGGAGAGGAGTCGGAGAGTGGTCATGCCCTCCGGTCAAGCGGAGGTACGAGCTACGGTCTTCGAGATCCTTCCAACGAGTGCGAGACAAGCATCGTTGCGGAGCTATCGGCCGCTACGATTTCGAAATCTCCCTCAATATGCAATGTATGTCCTTCTCCATTTCGAGGATTGGCTCTGCTCCGTGCTGGATTTTGCACAGAGGAACTTCGCGTCGTGGATGCAATATTGATGCGAGCAGGTCGATTCGAAGGGAATAGACCACCTGAGTTGAGTCTTGTGCTTTCGCATTTATTTCTCGCACCGGAACAAAGCCCGAGTCGACTCGGCTGCGGGAGAGAAGCTCTCTGAGGGAGATGGAACGTTGGAATTTATGACGAATGATCCCATTTCCGAAGCGAATAATGTCTGCACAATGGATTCCTCGACCAGAATCGGCGGAAACCGCTCTCAATTTACGGATAGAGAACATTCTCGAGGAACGTTCCTCGAGTAAGGAATTATTCCGGTCGAACTCGCAGGAACCCAGGACGTCGCTTCACGGGAGCTCGTACCCTCGCGAGGTCGAGAGCGTTCACTCTGTGGAAAGTCCTTTCTCCGAAACGCTGATCATAAACAAAAGGCTCCCCGTTCGTGGCATGGAACCGTATCGGTGGTCTTCCAGGCTCCCGCGAATTCAGTTCGGAAATTGCGGGGAGGATTCGTAGAGGTACAGCACGGAACTCAAGTGAGCGGAACAGAAGATCAGCGATCACGAAGCCGCATGAACTCGAGCAAAAGGAAGAACATAAGGTCAAGGATTCCAGGTACTGGGAGGAATTCAAGAGAAACTCGGAGTTGGCCCTGAGGACCGCAACGCACTCGATTTATGGGACTGACAGCGGGCTGATCATAGATTCAATCTACCATCAGCCGAGTTCCCGATTGGTTTTGCCCTGAGATGCCCCCCAGCAGACGGGTGGCCGACACACGACTAGCCGCTCGATACTCCGAGCCTCAACCAAGCATTGTCTTATATTCAGCTCAGCGAGATACTCCCCGGGTATCCAGATACCGACGCTGCGCGAAGTAATCAAGAGAAAGCAGAGATATACTTACGTCACCTGAAAGGCGGACGCCAAGTTGGGCCGTGAGCTCTGGAGGGTTTCGAGAATGGGTGAAATGGTCGACTGGATCATCTCGTCCATTGAGGGTATCTCGGCCCTCTTAGCGGGAGCTTGCGTGCTTATGGGACTCAGTGCAGGAACGATTGGGAGATCACCGGGACAGGATTCTCGTTCCGATGAACTTCGTGAGTATCCGACCGGTGTGCTGGCTCGGAGCGTCGGGACGCTCGTGTTGCCATGACTTTGAAGGATCTGATCGAATAGGACGAGAGAAATAAACGATCGGCTCGAGCTCGCGATCCGGGAGGCTATCGCTGCCGTTGGTATTTCGAACAGACATATTCCTGACATGAGCTCGCGGATAGCTAGATAGATTTTCATGCCAGATGCCCCCGCGATTGCATCCCGACACCCTCCCCCATACTTCTAGGATCTTACTCGGAGTTGTAGGGTAAGCATCAACTTGGCGTGGTTCGTGCCTTTCAAGGCGAGCGGCTCGTCGAGTTTCATGTCGTCTTCGCGAAGTAGTCGGGCGGTACTGACAGAGGCGCTGCCGACACATTGGCCGCTCTTCGTGTCCACCACCTGCGGAAGTTTTCGTATCATACATCTCGGAATTCCACTCGGAGTGGTCCAGGCCCCGCCAGGGCTAGCACCTCGTCTCATGGATTCGTGTTTTCCCTCGCCGATGGACTTCGGTCGTTAATTCCGGATCGTCACCTACCGAAGCCGACGCGTTCCCTGCTCACCTTTGCGTTGAGTTCTCCCACGTCGGGATTGGCACATAGAAAGGTGAAAGTTTCTTCCCAAACGGGATTTACTGAGTTGACAGCTACGGTACTTCTTCGTTCGTCCTTATCTAGCGACAGGACAACCTGACAGGACGGTTCGGCTGCTTTTGATCCGAGCTGAAACAGGTAAAACTTTGAGACCCGCTCGATGAAGCAAGCGCAAACCCGGCAGGAGATCCGTCGGATCCCATCGAGAATCCGAAAACTTCCGTCTTTAAGAACCTCGATCGCTCAATCCTCGTCGCTGTTGGGATCGAAGGGTTTCCGGGCAAAAAGGAGCAAATGAACGGGGTGATTCATTCATTGTCGGATTACATCGATTTCCTCGGTCTAATATGCGAAGCGTGATCTCAGTGATAAATTGAGGCGCGTACTATCACGCATGTAGAACAACGACATGCGGAACTCAGTCTCCGGCATTGGATAAAGCGTGTTGTTCCGGCGTTGTCCCTAATGAAGATCTACGGTAGAGCTTCACGCCTCATTTGCACTTACAGGCAACGCAGACGCGCAGTCCAAAAATACGGCCACGAGCCCGACAGAATGCTGGTGGTTGGTTGTGAACGATCGTTTGTACTCGAGCTCCTGGAGCGAAGTCGAATATTAATATACATACGTGTATGACGGCATAGAGGAATTCCATAGAAGGCCAGAAGCGAGACCTCCTCGAGAGGAACGGCAGACACAAGAATTCCCCCGCGCCATCGCGAGATCAGAAGGTTCCGCCCCGGAGAATAAAAATGGACCGCGCGAACTCGAATCGGGAAACTCCGAAAAATGAACGAGCAATTTAGAAAGAGATCCTCCGACTCCGAATGTTTCTGCCTGCAATAACTAAATTGCCCTGGAGTTTCGGAACGGTTTATTCTCTATTGAGATGGTGCACCCGCAGCGAATCACTCGACGGACTCGCCCCGTTACCGTCCATAAGCATCGATGACGTCTGTTGAGTCACTCCGCGTCACTAATTGAGCGCTCCTCACGAAAGCAGTTCTACGTCGTCACCGCAATCTTCCGGGTCTCTGCTTTGAATGAGCTTCTGCTTACCTTCTCAAGATCTGCCGGATTTCCACTAAGAGTGACCCATTCTGTGCGAATATGAATCTGACCACTCTTCACTGCTTCCAATTTCAGCCACTAGAATTGAGGATTATCCCCTTTAGGAGATTGGACTATCGGAACTCATTAATGCTACGATGGTCAGCTCTCCCCTGCATCCCAGAAGCGGAATGACTCCCGAGCCTACGCTATTATATCCTTGTCAAATAACTGAATGACAGGCGACACGTTCCCCACGGTCGACACCCGTGGGCTCCCCGTCCGTTAGGACTCACCATATCGGAAACAGCTTTCTCCGCCAGATCAGGAATGCTTAGGGCTGTTCGGCCGAGAAAATCGTCTTTACTGGACTGATCTTCGTCGTAGACTTCAATATCAAGAGTGTTCCCAGGCAGTTGATGAACTACAGCTTCGCAGGAGAAATCCCATCGAGGAGTTATTGTTGAGGGAATGACCTGAGTCCTGAACTCTGACTTGCCGACTGGAAAAGCCGGAATCAAGACTGCTTAACCACTGCTCAAGCTCCTGGAACCGCATTCCGTTGGGAACGACGGAATTCTCCGTTGACGCAGCTACGGAGGAGACGAGGATGCTCCTGACGCTCACCTGTGAGAACGGCGTAGGGATCGCTTTTCCCCATTCCCAGCATTCCAATGTCTGCCTTCACTAATTTCGCTGCCTCGATGACCTGGAATAATCCACTTGAGGGCTTAATCGTATGATTGCCTCCGAGAGGTAAGTACACCTCTCAGTCTGTGGCTCTCTGTCATAATTGAGTCGATCGTACGACCGGGCTCAGAGATTATCCTCCGATTGAAGGCAATAAACGATGGCGTTCACCAATCCGAATTGCTCTTCCCGGGATGAGCCTGAGTAGTTATTTCTGGGACTCGATCGGAGCGACAACGAGCCTCCAGTGCCAGTCCGCCAAGGCTCTCGCGAGCGGGTAATGCGCCCAGCGATCAGCATAAAGTCGGCAATGCACATGAATGGCACGCTTCGCCTGCTCCACCGATTAGTACTGTCAAGCCGTTAAATCCGAACGTCGATTTAAATTCATTAAAAGGCTATCAATAAAGGATCGGGTCCGTCGCTGACTTGGCATTGCAGTGGCTTCCCTTTTTGGATGGCCACTTTATCCGCTCCGCACTGTCGCTCCCAACTGAACTTTTCCTACCTGAATTCGGAGCACTCCGGCCGGCAGAGAATACTTGAGCATGTGAGCCGACACGCTTTCGATAACTCGATGTGAGTATTTGTTCGGCAGGACCAACAATTGCGATATCTGATCCAGCACGGCTTTCTTTAGGAGATCGTTGACGCCGGGAATTTCCATTAGCTCTCCAATGTTCGTCAGAGTGAAATCGACGAGCTGAAATAATTTCGATTGAACGGAGTTCGAAAACAACCCTCTCCAATCCGAAAACGTCCGGGTTTTCGCTCCTCTTCCTCGGTCCCGTCAGGTCCGGGATGAGTCCTGCGGGAGCCTTTCGCAAAATTTTCCTCGTTGCTTGCGGAGGTCTGTGATCCGAGGAACCCCGGTTCGAGCCATACGGGAACAAAGAGCATGGGATTCCTCCATCCCCGGGGATATCCGGGAAACCCTCGGGAGGTTTCCGCAGGTTCCACGCACGGTCCCGATCAGAGGGCTGGCGGGTTCGAACCAGCGACTGCCTTCGCGAGACAACGTCAATGAAGGTGATGCAGCCTGCTCCTGATGCGCAGACCCCTCTGGCTTTCCGGCGATACGGCGCGCCGGCGCAACTTTTCGCAGTCCATTGCAAGTGACGGGGCTACCGCAGACCGACCCAGAACTGGGCCGACGTGTGCTCTGCTTGGTGAGAATTTCGTGTGGCTCTCAGCAGGAGTTTTGCAAGCACTCAGTGTTTTCGAACATTCTATTCGAGCAGGGCGGTCAGCGAGAGCACAAGGCTCTGGAAGGACTCGTCTGAATGCTAATTCGTCCTCCTTGCTCTCTAGCAGCGTTGCGCTTCTCATGAGTTTTGCCTCCCACGTCTGCGGTTCTGGTGAGTGCGATCAATTAGAGTGTACTTGACGCAATAAAAGCGAACGCAGCGGGAAGCGACGGGTTGTCCGAGTGATGTCCACTCACGGCGAGCCGTACAACTCGGAGGACCATGTTCCGAGCGGGAAAACTGTGGCTTTGTTCTGAGAGCGGAACTCTAGGCGGCTGGCAAGAGACCAGCGGGCCATGGGGTCGGCAGAAAGATTGATCTCGCAAGGCGCAAATCTTCTCGCGCTTTTCGAGAAAGGAATACTCGCCCGTCACGCTCATGGCAGAAATTCAAAAGATCAAGAACTCTAGGGAAAGGAACGGAATACAACTCCCGTGTTGATAAGGGCTTCCATGTAGGATGAAGTTTGGGGGAGACTGCTTACCGGGGGTCTCAAGAAACAAGCTGTGATCCCTCCTACGAGAGGTATCTGCTTGGTCAAGGGTCGCAGCTCGAGTCGAAGGTTTCCTCTCAACTGAATATCTCGGATGCCCGCCTTGAAGCCTTTGATCTTGATCACCAGATTACAATCACCGCTGTATCTGCGAACATCGGGGGAAAATGAGGACGAGAAATTAGATGAGATAAGCGTGCTTAGTTCTGAACGGCCAAGTCGATATTAGCTTGATGAGGCCGCTGATCGACTAGGCGGCTCCGAACTAACGAAGTTTACTCACATCAGGTCCATATCGACGATAATTTCATTACGGCCGATGTTTTCGTTGTACACCTTGATGCCGCCTATCCGGGGAGACTGGAAAACGTCACAATTATCTTTCGGATCCAAGAAACGTCTTCTGCAAGACTCCCGTCGCCCCCTCCCGCGACTGTATGCAGACAACTCAGAGCAAGAAGGAAGTTCTTCAGAAGAGACTGAGAGAAGATATGAAGGATCGTTGCTAATAGGCTCACACAGCGAGATTACTATCAAGGAAATTGAGTGGACGCTCCTCTGTTGCGTGTCGAGGGACGATCGATGCCCCGCTTCGAGAAGCAGCGGTAGCAGCAGCTCAGAGTAATCTCCTTCGACGTGCGATTCTGCCCATTATCGGGACCCATCCAGAGCTATCTACCAGGATGGAAATGGCCTCATGATACTCACGATATCGCCGAGGTCTATCGTCTCGAACTTGAAACTCTGCAGGTAATGAGGCAACGATGCGCGTATCGAGGGCTCGACGATATCGACGAGCATCTCTTTCACGTACTGTCCGATGAAAGGCCAGAGCTGTCCCAACATCTGGAAATTCAGAGAAACTTATGAATCGGAGGACTGAGAAGATGAGAGAGCTCACCCCGTCTAATGGAAACTCAATCCCTTGAGATTGAGCCTCGAAAACCGCGAGAGCAAATCGCTTCGGCTCGTGTACCGAAGAGAGTCGGTACGACCGCGTTCCCACGAAAACTCGTTCCACCCGGTTCCCTTGCGAAAACTCGCGATAGAGTTCCCTCCACACTATTCTTCCGCACAAACGCGCCGAAGCGCCCTGCCTAGGGTTTCTTTTCGTTCAGACCGAAGCCTGCGAAGTGATAACGAGGCCGAAAAGGGTCCATTCCGAAGATACACATCGAACGGAGCGCTCAGGGAGCTTTGCGGGAAATCTCCCAGGACATCGTCGCGAAAAGTCATATTGAGCTCGCAGCCTCGGAACAATTCCGACTCGTGGGCTGCATGCGCTCTCCATAGTCGGCGGCCAATCACACGCGCAATCCCGGAATCCAAACCGTGGCAGTTCCCATCCTTTCGCTCGGTCCCTAAGTGATCAGTGATCACTACGCGACGAGATCCCTCGAAGCGTCTGATGAGGCTCAGCTCATGGGAAAATACGAACGCGAGCAAAAAAGCTCTCCGGGACGGCGGGAATTTTCCTATCTGGTCATCAAAGGAGCGGAAGATTGCGCTCGTCGCTCCCTCGGAGAGAAGGAATAATTGACTTCGCGCTGACGTGTGCATCGGCCTGTCCCGCTTCTTTGAGCCATGAGACGTTGCTCAGAAAAAGCCGTTTTCTTGTCGCTCGGCGATGCATGCGTCTATTCCCCGAGCATTGTGGAGACAAGACGGACTATTCTCGAGCGGGGCGACTTCCCGGAGCTCGGTCCCGCAGAGCGATCCTGCTATCGAGCAGTTCCATCGCTCCACACACCGCGATACCGGGGAAGTCTACCGCCTTTCGCGAAACGTGGTTCCGACGCCGAGGTTCGAAGAGAATCATTGGTTAGACATTGTAGCGTGCTCTGAACACGCCGAATGTATCCGCGTTCGTGCGTCGTCATAGTCGAGCACGGAAATTTCGCGACGGTAGGAGTCTCTGGACTGAATTTTAGTCGTTCCGGAATCGTCGCGATCCGACCAATCGACTCCGCTCCCGAGCTCTCCGGCGAGAACTGTCATCATGCGGAGCAAATATCTGGTGAGCGTTGTTTGAGTTCTGCCTGGAGCTCATGAGTTCTGCTGGATATTAGATCTTCGATCGGGGCTCCGCGCAGGATCCGAGATCCATCGGGCCCTGATATCGAGGGCCGAGCTCTATACTCCTCTGGCGACTCGTGCTTTTTCACGCTCTGAATATTCCAATGATGTATCGATAAGGGACCTCATACATTGTTCATCCGAAGCCGTCGGGAAAATTCCGATGCGACTCACCTTGTTCACCCATTCGCAGCGTTCCGTGTCGGGAAAGTAGACCTGAAAAAAAAGATGACATGGTAGATATAAGGGAGTCGATCGTGAACAATGTATAGCTGAGTTCGTCCGGCCGTCTGCTAGCTCGAGCCCATATTTCAGCCTGTCGAAAAGCTGCAATCCAACTCATTGAGATGCGAAATACCCGCGTTCACCCCGTGTTCACTCGCCGCGCTCGGTGGCATTGAACCCGACGACTAGCTTCATTCGAGTCATTATTCAGAATCCATTCAAGGACAAACACTCCGCTCATCGTGAGCATCAGGCTACCATAAAGCTTCGAAATTCTATTTCAATTCATCCGATTGTTGATGATGGACTAGCGAATGTCTCGGAAAATATTCCGGCGACGGAAGCTCTCGGGACGATTCATGCGGGGAAAAACACGGTCCGATCAAGCTCGCGCATCGAAACTCGCCGCAGATGGCCAGCGAGCCTCGGAGCGAGGGCTACATATACGAGCTTCCTTTCCTTAGCAGTCACGCCGATCATTAGGCTCCGAGACATCCCCTTCGACGCCCTCTCCGTTTTCCATTGCAAGGGAGCACTTGCTGGCATCATTCCAGGAGCATTCAGAACCCTGGTATGACTTTGTATCGCTATTTCGCGGCCGGGTCTATGGGAGACGGTCAATGCGAAAACTCGTATCGTTTCTCCTCTGTGGATCAAATCGCTTCGATCATCAATAGATGAATACGGGGCTCGTCCGGTATCTTATTTATGAATGTATGATATTACAAATGCTCGTTGCTCAAGTAATAGCTTTCCAGCACGCTTTGTCACGTATCCGGACGTGCCCCGTCAGGAATCACGTTTCTCGTTCCGGCTGACCTATTCGAAACACCGACGTCGATGCCCCCCCACAGGTGAAAGTCCGCATATCGGCCCCGGGCGCCACCCAACATTCTCCCCGCCAAGAACATATGCGAGAAGGTTGGCGATCTTCTCGGCGCCTCCCGTCTCGTCCACATCACTCTCAATGCCCGAGGGCTTCACGAAGCGTTCTCAGACGCTCCTGGCGTGTGTGAACTGACTCTGTCGAACGATTCTTCGAAACCCCGGGAGGAGACTTGCTGCAAGGGAGCGGATGAATTTTGCAGCGCTCGACTGGAAAATTTCTTTCGGCGCCTGCGCGAACTGCATTCTATGAATATTCTTCAAACCTATTCGAACATGTGTTCGTCCGCATATCGGTCCGCCGGGACCTCAGCAGCTGGGAACAGCTGCAGAGTTCGGCGTTATTAGTCGGTTGAGGGCACTCCGCTACCCGCTCGGAGCTCGGCCATCTGCCTGTGCATCCGTCTCGCGGTGTGTACTCTCAACGAAGCTAATTTTCAACGCGAACTTCAGAGGCCGGAATATTCAAAACTGAGGGTGCATTCCATCACTCAGTCCATGTGGAGTTCGTGAGCTTGAGTCATCCAGCAAGAGCCCCAACTCAGTTGCGATCATGAATGTTCTCCGGAACTCCGAGAATGAGATGTCGCAGTCTCAATATCGGAACGATTTCGGTCCGGCCATTCTCGACTGATGAGTTCCGCCCATGAGGATGGAGCACAATTCCTGCTGGCGATAATAACATAATAAGCATATTCATTTGATGCAAAATACAATTTGACATTATGTCGTTCGCAGCCCCTTACTTAGGAAGAAGAGAAAACTCGATCACCCATCTCCGAGAATGGGCTCTCGGAGCGAGCTCGTCAGGGTCAAGACTCTGCGCCAGAAAAGCGTCGGTCAAAGCTGAGAAGCGGCATCCTGAGACACTCCACGCTCTGGGCGAATTTCAGCGTCGGAGCGACAGGCTCAAATTGATGCGCGATGAAGCTCACGTTCCGCGCGGACCATAACATCACGCAAAATATGATAGGGATGAAGCCGGAGCGATCTCATGCCTCAAGAGAATACCCGACGCGATCGTCTCGCTCGCACATTTCGTGCCATCTAAGGAATTAATTTGTGGAGATCTTCCGAGCCTCAGTTCCGACCTCCGGGATTCCCCTCTCCCTGAACGCTCGACTCTTTTAGTGCGAAATGCTTCATTTCCTCCCCGGGTCGCAGCGTCGTGGAAGTTTTCGAGCGCTTAGTAGTAGCTTGCCCGGTGGGGCGAGCTCAATACCCATTGTCGACGTAATTAGCAGGTACCGGCTCCGGTCCGCGGGCGCGAATTCGTACCGACCTCGGAAGCTCTTCCTCGTCTGTTGAGTTAACCGGGTCAGAGATGCATTTGTAGTCATCGAATGCCCGCATCGCCAAATTTTCGGCAAAATATTCTGATCGGTCTGGCTCCGAAATAGACTGGACGAACGGTACGAGGCAGGAAAATATTCCCCTCAACGGAGAGCTCACGGATCCTCTCGACTACTTCATCGATCTCACTTCGAGTCGATGAGTCTTCGATGGTGGACGCTTGAACCATCGGGAATCGATACCGCGGGATCATCCACCGAGACCGCTTTCTGATCCGGCTCGGGTGTTCTCGGGACGATTTCGAACTTTCAGCTCAGGAGAACGACAGAGCCAAATAGGGTCACTCCGATTGCTTCCCGGCAACGATTCCTCTAGAGAAAAGATAGGCTCCGCTCATCCAACGAACATACGGAGCGAACTTGCGAGCTCTCAGCTTATTCCAAGAGGTCTCCCACCTGAGAGAGGAAAGCTGAACGAATGGCGGAGGTTTCCGGTGGACTGATTCGAATGGAGGTTCGCGACTTACCCAAGTCGGTAAATCCTCGAGCAGAGTCGAAATATTTTTCTTGTCCAGGACCAATTTTCGTAATGACGCCTTGGCTTTCATTTGTTGGCGGAGGTGGCATCGAACGGCGTACGCAACCGAACCGAGGACGAGCCATGACGGCGAAAGACCGAAGTAGCCTAGAGACGAATAGTGGCAATCAGCCGCGACGAGATCAGGGATTTATGAGGCAGAGAGCGTTACGACGACACTCTCCGTCGCGAGAAGCGGCGGTACCGTCTGCATATTGATAGCCGGTCGACTCACCGATCAGGTAGGCGCAATAGCTGACAACAAAGGCTCGTCCCATGAACTTGAGTGTGTCGAGCGAGAGTCCATTTGGTCCCGGGTCTACCACCTGATGTTCTTCGGAACCCTGCATTGTCCGCTCCTGGAATGGAAGATGAGTGAGGATCAGAAAATGATCCGCGTCCGGAAACGATTCGATCGGTGCCGGCTCGTTATCAGCACGGAATGGGACGAATCTGAGCAGCACGTCGTGAGAACAGAAGAACTTCGTTCATCGGCATCTCTTCCTCTTCGATCCGAGCCACCAGTCTTGTTGGAATGGCAGCACCGTAAAGCGAAACACCTCGAGGCGTTACAGGAATAGAAAGAGAGACGGATAGGAGACCGACATCTAACTCGATCCCCACGGAGTCAAAAGATCTAATTACTAATCATGAGGTTCGGCCAGCGTGGGCAGAACCGCGAACACGGAGACGCGCCTATCAGTCGAGATGATCATCAACGATGAGCTCTCGCGGGCCTGCTTTGCGTCCCTGGTTCCCGGAGCCCGATACCGCGGAGAAGGATCATCTGGCAGAGGGAGGCCGGCTTTTGCGCAGAACTGGAACCGATTGAGGTCAAAAACTCGACAATGGCGGGTAGCGAAGCAGCCTCTAAAGCGGAAGCATGTGTGTCAGAAATTTTGAAGTCTTGTGCATGATGATACACACTCAGCGGCATCCAGACCGACGTTTCCTCCCGCAAAAATACGGCATCATGGCTGGATCGACGTCGGGTCGTAGCTCTTTGCGCTCTCTGCGCTCCTTGAGGCTCCGAGGAATGGAATTGAGTCTCGAGGGGAACAATAATCGTATAATCAGTTTGTACGAGTCTTCATGAGGGTAATTCACGTCAAGGATGCTCGATATGATTCGTGTCCACGGATTGGGTCCTTGGACATCAAACGAGTCACAGATCGTACATAGCTGCGATCCGCTGAGCTGGGGAGCTCAAGTCGAGGCAGCCCGGCGAGAATCCATCTCTGAGTGAGAGCCACATATCTAACGATCGCTGGCGCTTCATGCGCGAATCGCTCCATTTGCCGCCCAGGCCATCAGTTTGCGCTTTCCTGACCAAGTGTGACAGAGGAGCCGTCCATAAAAAGAGTTGACGGGCATAACCCTGTTTTATCCGTTTTACGAGTTTTCGGTCTACGTGTACCCGGCAGGCATTCCGGCATTGAACTGCTCGATGAGTGGATGAGATTCCTCCACTTCCGCTCCACGCCCGAGCTGTCTAGGTTGATTTTTCCCCGATCGAAGCCCTCGCATAACTCATCAGGTAATTCGAGGCAAAGTTCCTCGTTACATTAAATATGGATTGAGTTGAAGCGGAGTAAGCCTTCAAACCTTCGCGATCGGCGGGTTCCTGTATGGTGAATTCCGAGCCAAGTATTCTCGAACAATGAGCTCATGCACAAATAATATCCATGGAGCTTGAGGAGATCGGGAATTATGGTTTCATTGTACCGCGACTTATCGACTATCGCTGTTCGTACTGAACCGCTCGCAGGTGACGCTGATTCCCCGACTCACCCGGACGTCTTTGAGTTCCGCATCGGGCTTTCGCAGGCATTGGTTTCCTATTCAGTGTGAGAAGAATGAGCCGTTTTCCGTTTGATCCGAATGGTTGCACTCGAATAGACGCTTGTAAGCTCGCGCGAATGAGACCCTGGATGCTTCGATACATGTATTTACTTATGCGTGATTCGAGCTGCACAAAAGGATTCTTTGCTTTTCGTCTGATTGCCTCATGGCAGTCTGTTTGGGGAATTTCGGGGACTTTTCACGGGGGAGGACGGCTGGGGAAGAATCCCAGCATATGTATGATACTTCAGTCATTGAAAATAGTTTTCAGGCCGGACCTTGCGATTTGCGACCCCGTCGAGCAGTTGCCGCCGATGTGTCATCGGTACCAGAATGCGTTCAACAGTCTTCAACCCCTAAGATCAGGAAAAAGAGCTGTGAATCCCGCCGGCAACCGGGATGATCTTCTCTCCTAACGGTAACCCTCTCGTGCCTATCGGGAAACCCAAAGGGAACTCTCGGAAGACCCTCTCCGAAACCCTGAAGGTCTCACGGTGCGCTGACCCTACGACCGTCCGTCGTAGAGCATATCCCATTATTGCAAGGAAAAGGTTTTCCGCAATCCAGAGGAAAGATACACAGAGTCTGTGTGCGGAGCTGAAAGCTCCGTTTAGCCTCTTGACTATGGCCTTGCGTTCAGGGAGCTCCGCTCAAGAGCCATCAAGTCAGATTTCGCGATCGCTTGAGGAAGCGAAAACAACGCGCGTACATCTGCATTCGGAATCTTGGCGTGCTCACAAAGGATAAGGCACATTCAGCTGGCTCCAAATTACGGTGTGAACGACTTTCGGAGCTTTTGTTTGCCGCGAATCGGCTGATGTCCTCAGAGAGACGGAATATGATGGCGATTTCTTCTGGTTCTCGTCTCTGGGTCCGGCCGTCACGCACCATGAATTTCGTGTCAAGGCACTGCGATCCCCAGTTTTCGGATTCTTCCACGAAGACAGGAGATTCATCGTTCTTATCTGCCCGATTCGTGCCGACGTTGAATGTTCCCCGAGTCCCGGGAGCATCTGTGTGCGTGACAAGTGTCCGAGTTTCGTCGCCTCGCTCCCATTGTATTACTCCATTCTATTTAGTGAATGAGCACTCGACTTGCCGGCAATGAAAGAAAAACACAAACATCTCGAGACGGGGGGGGGGATGAGATAAGATGGCGACTCCATGGGAGCCCCAAACTGGCGAACTTTTTCCCAGACCGATAAAAGGCCGAGAATTCCCAGATCCCCAGAGGATCCGACGAGCGGGTGTATTGAGCTCTCGGATAAACTGCAACGACACCGTAAACGGGTCCGTTGGGGTCCGCGGCTCGGGAAAGCTTTGGAGCCAGTGCTAGTTTATTCCGAGGCGACTGTGTCACGGAGCGGTCCCGGTGCAACTCCGAGCGTCTATACCTGGATCGGCGTGAGTTATTTCCCGGAAACTCAGTGGGAGCCGAGAATAGATTCCAGACCGAAGTGTCTCCCGGACTCAGTGCCATAAATTCCAGGACGCAAGATGGGGGAGAGGGCTTGCGGTTCTGTCGCTCCGCGTAGGAACACACGACCTGCTTCATCGTCGGATTCTCTAAATACGTGAGTAAGATACACTCCAGCTCACCACCGCCCCGCTTCTCCGACTACGCGGCGGAACGTTCGAAAAATGAGTCCGGCCGGGTGCGACGAGACCCATTGAATTCGAACTTGCTGGGTAACAGTGAACGAATCATTAGTCTTCGAAGCCTCGGGAGCCCTATTGATGCCAGGATCTCTCTTGGCCGCCTAAAGAAAATGACGAAGCCGACTGGTCCCGACTCTTACGGATTTGACGTTCGTATTTTTTTTCGCAGAAGACGCCCTTGAAACGTCGCGTGGATGAGGCGCGCTCTAGATATTGGTCAGGCTGCGCTTCCCAGATGAGACCGGCAGAAAATATTTTTTCCGCAGGTTACGCCGACCCAGAGACTCCTTTGAGAAACGCAAACCCAACCTGATGATACTCATGATCCGGACTCGCGAATCGACTCATTGAATGATCAGATCCGCACCGAGACACGGTCTGAGGAGAGTCCCATTTCACACATCAGGAGCAGCACGCAAGGTTCCCCGTGGCCGCGGACCAGGAGCTCAGTCAGTATGCCTTGAGCGGAATTGAGACGAATTGAACGACTCTGGGCCAATTCTATCCTGGAATCGACCTCGGCTCACTCCGAGCTGTCCCCAGTCGAGGAGGTTTCTCCGCAGCCCGCTGTTGATAAATTGGGCGTTGTGGAGATGAGGGGGCCGAGCTCGCGGGAGGCATCAATCAGATGCAAGTGTTCAAAAGAGATCGCGCAAAGACAGTGTTTGGACTACCTCCAATTCTTCTCTTGCGGGAAACCCTTGTGTGCTCTATCCGTGTCGAAAGGGAAAGCGTCTCCTTGGCTCTCGTTCGAACGTTTCATGGGGGCGCGGGCATTATCCTAAATGGATGTTCTCGCATAGTCATCAAGAGTTCGGAGCTGTCGAGGGAAACAAATAGGATGGAAGTTTGTCCTGAAGCAGTGTGAGCAGCCGGAGGGCTGCAAGGGTTCTCGCCGCGTACCTACTCCCACTCGGCGACCGCCCAATCCATTCGAGACAGATCTTGTTCCTTATCGACCTCAATGAGAGGGTATCCGGTCGCGGATAGCTGATCCGGTTATCCGCGGAAAGGATCGACCTGACTTGAGCCCGATCCGGGAATTTCGCCACGCAGAGAATGTCCTGCAGGTAGCTCATTCCGAGCGCTCCTCGTGCTCCAGATGATTGCCGGAGCAATGATTGAAACAAAATGACGATGACCGGATATCCAGAGCACTCGAGCTTCGATTCTCGGGGGCTCACTTCCTCACGAATTGCGTAAAGCACGAGTCGCTGGATTCCCTGAACGAGTGGCTCGTATACGAATCGATACGTCTTCCGTCGACGACATTCCATCAACAGAGTTTTCGAGAAGCAATTGTCACCCATCGTTGGAGGGCTCCTCAATCATTCAGCTGAATCACCCGCGTTGCAGAAGACAATGTTCGGAAGGAGGTCCGTGGGCACTGGCACCCCAAACCCGATATTACCCGATCTCGCTTTTGCGCGCCCACCGTCTTTGTTGAACCGCTGACAAAAGCACGGAATTATTGAAGAAAACGGGGCAACCGTTTCGATAGACGACGGATGCAAGAAGCGATTACTGCTCAGTTCCGAATCAAGCTCGATGCGAGGGATACATAGCGAGGCGAGAGGGGGGGACGTGGAACTCGATTTCAAACTACGGCTAGGGTTACGACTCTACCTCGTTTCGCTGGAGAGATTATATATTCCTCTTGTCTCCCAGCTAGGAGGAAAGCTAGGTCGATCGTCTAAAACTCTCTCGAGAGACAGACTCCTTCTCGAATTCAATGAACGGCTCCACGGGAGGCTACCTCAAGGCCTGCACGCAGACGAATGCCTCCGGGTTTCAGCCAGAGTCTACCTCCGGAGGCAAGCGAGACACCCTTGCGAGTTTTCCGGCTGATTCGGAGGAA